TGCAACATATTCCTGTAGCTTTGTCTTCGTCCAGAAATATAGAAGCGATATGGTGCAATAATAGATTAGGTTTTATTAGTTAACTTTTGTTTGTTTTTAGATTTTACTTTTTGATTTCTTTTTGTTTAAATAATGATAGGTACTTTCATCATGACGTGTTTCTATTAATTATATGTGATTAACATTTTTTAAAAATTTTTTATAGAATAATCGATGGAACGATATTTTAAAAGAAAAGCTTCTTCACCCTTTGAATATATAGATGATTTGCCGTAGGATCCTGCTAAAAGAAAAAACATAATAGATTATCATCCAAATCAAAGAGATGAGGTATGACACAAATATCTTTTAAGAGGTCCATGTCAGCCACTTGGTCATAATTTTGAAAAAAAATTATTGGAGATAAACTAAGACGGTTCAATCCAGCTTGGTTTGACCAATATGGCAATTGGCTAGAGTATAGTGTATCAGAAGAAAAAGCTTATTGCTTATGCTGTTACTTGTTTAGAGATGATGGGTATCCTGGATTTGTGAAAGAAAGATTTTCGAGTTGGAATAAGCCTGATAGATTATCTTTACATGTAGGAGAACCTAATAGTTCTCATAATAATGCTGTTAAGAAATGTGATGATTTGATGAATCAAGGTCAGTCCATCGTACATGCTTTATATAAGAAGAATGATGCAGTGAAAAATGAGTATCGTATCCGGTTAAATGCTTCGATAGATGTTTCAAGGTACTTGTTGCGACAAGGATTAGCCTTCCATGGTCATAGGGAAGGAGAAGAGTCTTCTAACAAAGGAAACTTTTTAGAACTCTTGAAATACACGGCAGATCACAATAATATAAACAAAGTTGTTTTGGAGAATGCTCCAGGAAATAATAAGATGGTTTCTTCAGCGATTCAAAAGGATATTGTAAACTCTTTTGCAGAAGAAGTAGTGAAATCAGTTATAGAAAAAATTTACCATGGTGTTTTTGGTTTGCTAGTAGACGAGTCTGCTAATGTGACAAAGAACAGATGGTTGTAGTTTTTCGATTTGTTGATAAAATGGGCGTGGTGAAAGAAAGATTTGTGAGAGTTGTCCATGTGGAAGAGACGTTTGCTGCATCTTTGAAGCATGCTATTGATGAACTATTTTCAAAGTATGGACTAATTTTGAAAAAAGTGAGAGGACAAGGTTATGATGGAGCTAGTAACATGAAAGGAGAGTTTAATGGTTTACGATCTTTGATTTCCAGAGATAACAGTTCTACATATTATGTTCACTGTTTTGCTCATCAGCTGCAGTTGGCTGTAGTGGCACTCGCAAAAAAGATATTTGATTTTTGTGATTTCTTTGATATGATTTCTACATTATTGAATATGGTTGGAGCTTCTTGCAAACAGAAGGATATGATTCGAGAAAAGAATCAAAAGGACATAAATGATGGAATTGCTAGTGGTGAAATTAGCACTGGAAAAGGATTAAATCAAGAAACTTCTCTTCAGAGGCCTGGAAATACTCGATGGGGCCGGGTTCTCATTATAAAACGTTATTGCGTTTAGCTGGGATGTTTTCTTCTGTAATTAAAGTTCTTGAGTATGTCGAAGAGGAAGGTGCAGAGGACTCAAAGAGACGCCAAGCATGTGGTCTTCTCAAGTACTTTCACATATTTTACTTTGCGTTCTACATGCATTTGATGTTACTTATTCTATGAGTAAGTGATAATCTGTCCATGGTTTTGCAAAAGAAAGATCAAGATATTTTGAATGCTATGTAACTAGTAGAATCCACAAAGCGGGAATTACAGGAGCTAAGAGATAATGGATGGGATTCCCTTATGGAAAAAGTTTCTTCTTGTTGTGAGCAATATGATGCTCAGATGCTCAACATGGAAGATGACTTTATCGATTTACACAGGCCAAGGAAAAAAACCAACATAACCAATCTATATCACTATAAGGTCAATTGTTTTAATGCAGCTCTGGATTTGCAGCTTCAAGAGTTTAATGATCGTTTTACTGAGGTAAACACCAACTTACTTATTTGTATGGCTTCTCTAAGTCCTATTGGTGGTTTTCATGGATTTGACAAGTCAAAGTTGGTGAAACTGGTTAAGTTCTATCCAGATGATATTAGTACTATGGAATGTTTATCTCTTGAGCAACAACTTGGAATTTACATTGATAATGTACAACAAGATCAGTGATTTAAAGGCTTGAAGAGTATTGGAGATCTTGCTCGGCTGATGGTAGAAACACAAAAACATATTGCACATCCTTTGGTTTATAGGCTTTTGAAGTTAGTTTTGACTTTACCAGTGGCTACTGCAACAGTTGAAAGGTGTTTTTCTGCGATGAAACTTGTGAAGACAGCCTTACGCAACTGAATGGGAGATCTTTTGTTAAGTGATTATCTAATTTTTTGTATTGAAAAAGAGTTATTTCATAATGTCACAAATGAAAAAGTGATGAACCGATTTCAAGCAATGAGTGAACGCAGAATTCATTTGTAGATTTTTTTTTATTAATAAAAAACTTATTATAATATTTATTATTTTATTATTAGTGCACCCAGTAAAATTATGGTCTAGATTCGCCCCTGGACTCCTCCAAAGGAAAGATTTACCTATCGAGAGGTATCCGACAAGGAGATCCGCTATCCTCCTTTCTGTTTATCATTTGCACGGAGGCTTTAATTAGTCAAATGAGAGGGGCAGAAGACGAAGGGAGGATCACCAGACTAAAGATTGCCAAAGCAAGCCCACCGATATCCCACCTCTTGTTTGCTGACGACAGTCTCTTTTTCTGTCGAGCGGAGATTGGACAATGCACTGAACTGCTGAAGATTATTACTTCGTATGGCCAAGCCTCAGGTCAACAACTAAACTGTACCAAGTCATCGATCTTTTTTGGAAGTAAAGTCAAACAAGAAGGGAAGCAAGCTCTAAAGCAGGCGCTTGAAATCAATACAGAGGGAGGAATGGGGATGTATCTGGGTTTACCTGAAAAGATATGTGGCTCAAAGAAACAAGTCTTCTTTTATATTCAAGAAAGGTTAAAAAACAGAGTAAACTCATGGTCTTCGAAGCTACTATCCAAAGGAGGAAAGGAAGTATTACTGAAATCGGTGGCATAAGCTATTCCGACCTTTGTTATGTCTACTTATTTCCTTCCACAGGACGTTATTGCCAAAATGAGAGCGACTATCTCTCGTTTTTGGTGAAGCAAAAAGTCTAACAATCACGGTCTACACTGGCTTGCAAGGGACAAAATTTGCATCCCTCAAAGCAAAGGAGGTCTGTGGTTTAAGGATTTAAAACTCTTTAACCTCGCCTTACTTGCGAAACAACTGTGGAGGTTACTCAGATGTCCCTCTTCTCTTTTGACCTGGGTTCTAAAAGGCAGATACTTCTGCTACTCAAACCCTTTAGAAGTGGAAAAATCCAATGCACCTTCCTATGGCTGGTGCAGTATCATGGCAGCCAAGCACCTGCTTAAACCGGGTCTAAGGAAAACAATCAAGTCTGGTTTTAATACCAAAGTCTTGGATGATCCCTGGATTCCGTCTATTCTGACACGACCTGTCGTGAGCTTGAGTAATGTCAAAGATCCAAATCTCTATGTAAATCATTTAATAGACTTTGATTCCAAAACTTGGAAGGTGGATTTGGTTCGTTCATTAATATTCGCAGAAGATGTCGAACAAATCCTAAGCCTTAGACCACTACGTAAGTTGGAGATGGGTGATTACTGTTGGTTATACACAAAGTCAAGTAACTACTCCGTTAAAACGGGTTACGAGCTTGCTTGTGAGATGGATGACAAAAACAGCCCCCCGAGGCTTTGCAAACCAAGCACGACGGCCCTACAAAGTCGGGTGTAGGAAATAAGAACTTCACGCAAGATCAAACATACCCTCTGGCAAATCTTGACGGGTAGCTTGGCTGCAGGAGTTAGACTGGCTGATCGCCATTGTGGTACAGATAGAACATGCCCCAGGTGTGGCAGCGAGAATGAAACTATCAACCACATCTTCTTCGAGTGCCCCCCGGCTCTGCAAACATGGGCTTTGTCCCCTATCCCTTTTGTTCCAGAGGTATTTCCGTGTGATGCTCTATTTTCTAATATGGATTTTCTGCTTTTCTGAACACACAGCTACGGCATAACAGAGGAACAATCGAAGATATTCCCATGGATCATATGGTATATATGGAAAGCAAGAAATGAAAAGATCTTCAACAACAAGGAGGTGTCGCCCATGGATACAACCGATCTGGCCAGTCAAGAAGTCGAGGTCTGGAACACGGCTAATCGGATCGAGAAGAATACCGAGGTGATAATTCACCAACCTTTTAAACTGCTAGAGAATTTCGCAGGTGAGGAACTCTTATGCCAGGTGGATGCTTCATGGAGTAATGCAAAAAATTTGTTTAGAAGGGGTTTCGTTTTGATGCAGACTGGCACTCGAGTTTTACTAGGCTTGTTTGCAAGCGAATGCGTCCCCTCTCCCCTTCACGCTGAGATTGAAACTGCAATATATGCATTAAAGACAATATATAATCGCGGATTCACATCGCTACATTTTCAAACAAATTGTCTAGAATTGGTGAAGATCATGGATGGAGAAGAAGACTGGCCAAATTTTTCAGCCGCTATGGAAGAATTCCTGCTTGGTCAGGATAGATTCACGAGTTTTTCTCTTTCTTATATATCATAATCTTTAAATTATTACGCAAATGCCCTTGCAAAATGAACCTGTAACCAGAATCTTATTTTTAACCATATAAACGTTGAGGTTCCGGTCTGGCTAACCGATAAGGGAAGCCTATTTGAACCAGGTTCTGATATATGAAAGTTTATGTTGATGTCAAAAACAAAAAAATTCCTAAGATAATTGCAAGGTGTGTTTAACACATAAACAAAGATAATATAGATTATTACAAATCACACACAAGCAACAAATCAAGGCTCATTATTTTTCTGGGGCCTGCTGGATCAATATACATAATTGATTTGGTTTTGCATCATGAAGTGGGCCAGAAGTCAGAGATCTCGAAAATTAAATTGAAAAGAACAAAGATACGAACAAAATGGTTGCCAACAAAAAAGAAAAAAAGAAAAAAGAACAAATGATATTTCAAGTCCACGATAACCATTGAAAAGTCCCATGAACAAAATTGAAATTGTTAATTAAGAAATTATTAAGCCCATTTGGCCAAAATAGACATGAGACCAGCACCAAGGAGGAGAGCAATATGGGCCATGATTTGAAGCCCAGTATTAGATTGCATCTTTGGGTGCATGAAATCTGTTGCGAGAAGGTCCACCAAAGACATATAGATGAGAATACCTGCGGATGCAGCATTCAGTACACCTTGAACGATCAGAGCCGTTGGAGAAGACTCATCGTACGAATTCGCTATTCCCATTCCAAGAACGATTCCTAGTGGAGTCGTTATAGCGAAGAACGTCGACATTATTGTTACTGACAAACACTTGAATTTTCCCTACAACAAGAAAAATTCGAGAAATTAGTAATTTGTTGATGGTTTTTTTGGCTTTCACTGTTTTGCTATTTTGACTACTCATCACCAATGAATATTTTATTTCAAACAAAAATAAGTAAACTTTGGAACCATACAAGATGATAAAAGTCAAAACGTGTGTCACCACTATGCAATTACGTAGCTCTTTATAATATACAACTATACAAGAGGAGATAAGTCGACAGAGAAATGGACTGAGTTTATATCGAATATATAAAGATCAATGAATGAAGTAAATATATAAATAAGGGAGAAAAGATATACCTGAGCAATGCAACCACCAAGGCCAAGACCTTCGAAGCACTGATGAAACATTAAGGCAATGAAGAGAGCTTTTGCAGCTTCTGGACTCTGTGAAGCTCCAAGTGATATTCCTATTACCACTGAGTGTACTATTATTCCCAGCTCCAATACCTATTCAGATTTTCCACAAAAGCAAATTAAAACCACGATCAATATAATGGACTTATCCTTTTTTTTGTGTGTTTTAAATTTGATATGTTAAAAGCTAACAATATATATGAAGAGTTATTATTTGGAATTTTGGCACTCAATAACATGTGATGGTTTCTCTAGAGAATCAAACCTCACATGGTCCGAATCTAATTAACCCGCGTTGACAACAAATAAACTCTCAGAAATGCATGAACTTTGAAGTTTTTTATTTATTTATATTATCCTACACAAAGTACTTTAACTTGAAAAAATATTAGTTCTAAAAAAAGTTAAAAAATATATATCTATATTCATGCATTTAAAAAATATATATTATAAGCCTGTGTATCCGATTGTTTTTTGTTGTTGTTCGTATTATGTTTATTTAAATACAATATATATATATATATATATATATAAATATCATAAATCCCTTAAAATTCTTTTTGATAACCTGAAAATCCCTTAATGTTTCAAAAATGTTAACGTTTTGCGTTTCCATTTACAATCATGTTCGATTCGAAGCAGTAGCAGCAGTACAGCCATGAAAACTGAAGTGAAAGTGCACATTCATTTTCCTCTATCAAGTCATTTCTTTTGCCACAAAAATGTCAAAACGTTCAATCAATTCATTTCTTTTGCCCCAAAAAATCTATATAGAAAAATATATAAACAACAAACGCAAACGCTATGATTGTTAGACGTGGAGCTCAACAAACCTGTGCAATAACTCTAGTCCGGAGAACCTGGACCTTGGCGGTGTCGACGGTTGGCTCGCCGGATTCTCCATCGGCGATCATCTTCGACGCTTTGCAATGCGATCTATAGAAACTCGAAGTCGCAAATGTATCAACGGATAGCGTCAAGATCGCCGCCACCATCGCAATAAATCCGGTGAATGGAAAGTCCCATGCTTCTGAGGTAAGACACGGCGAGTTAAGCATCGTGTAAGCCTCAGGCAAGACGTGCATAAACCCGGTTGCGAGGATCACGCCGGCGGCAAAGGCTTTCGTGACGAAGAAGAAAGATGTTTCAGGGCGCAGAGAAGGGAAGACTTTGCCTAAGAGAGGGAAAAGAACTCCTAGTACGCCGGCGACTAGAACGAAAGGAATGGCGGCGATCTTGTATTTCCGAGCTCCGGCTTTGTTTTCATGGTCGTCTTCGTGTGAGCATTCGCATTTCGGTTTCCCGGAATGCGAATGGCCTTCATGGCCTTCTTCATCAGCGGCGTGGACGACGGCGATCAGGAGGATGGAGATGGTGAAGAAGAAGAGTAAGAGCTTCACGTTCTTCATCATCATTTTTCAATTAGGGTTTCTGTGAAAATGATTCTTGGATTCTTGATGATGATGAAAATAAGAAAAAAAGTTGGTTTGGAAATGAAAGTATATCAGTATACGAATGTGTCTATATACACGTATATTAATATCATATTAATATGTGCTAATCTTTTTTTTTTGTTAGGTCATTCATTAACAAGATATGAGCTAATGAAACTAAACAAAAAAAATATTGTAATAATGATTTTATATCTTTTGTTTCCGATCGTTTTACATTTTTATATAATTTTTCAAAGTCAATAGTTGTTATAGGTTGTAGTATGCAATATACTGAAACTTTGTCTTCAGATATCATTATGATTTCTCGACAAAAGAAGAAGAAGAAGAAGAAGCACAAGTTACGATTTTCAGAGAAAAAACAATGATCAGAACATTTACTTTCCAAAGTAAATAGGCTGTTACGTACGCAAAAGTTACAGAGGTAAAGTATACCGTATCATTTTGCTTATGAAGAATTATTAAATTAAATTTGCCTTACGTCCTTCCATGTTCAAAGTACGGATGATATTCTCGAACGTGCGACGTCTGCGACAACCCCAAGGCCCAAACTAATTTAGTGTGATACTGTTTAACGAGTTTTCGGATACTGGTAAAAATCAAACTCTTTTATTAACTTTTCATGAGAAATAGCTCACAAACGATGAATTATGTCGTGGACTATCCTTTTAAATTCCGGCCTAAAATAACTAATGTTCTCAAGCCTTACATTGTTTATGGTTTTTAACTAGTTTATATACTCATAAAATAACTAATGTTCTCAAGCCTTACATTGTTTATGGTTTTTAACTACTTTATATACTCATATATTTATAGTTTATGAAATGGATGAATTTTTAGAGTAAAAATACGACTAATTGAGTTTATTATTTCAGTTCGAGAGTTGTATAAAAGTAAAAACAGATAAATGTAAGTAGAAATCTTGTGTTTATTATAATGTGATGAAAGTTGGATCTTATTCTCCTCTGATCATACTCTTGTTTTATACCATGATTTGTGTTTATTAATGTTCCTGTTTACACCGCTTGATTTACCAATATTGCATTTATTAATGTTGATTTGGGCATTTTTAGTCAAGTTATGAAATTGCTGTTTTGAATGTTTGTTCAGTTCATCTGGGAGTCAACTTTGAGTTTCACCATTTTAGTTTGACTTTGCCATTCAACTACTCTGTCAACAACGTCATAATAAACATTTTTGGAATACATACTATGCAAGTATTTCAAAATTTATATGTGTTTGTTGGTTGTTTAGCAATTGGGAACCTAATTTTCAGATATTCATGCATCAATGAAACAATTTTTTTTTTTTTTTTTGTATATTCGGAATTACATTCAGTTCAAAGAAGAATGTAAATCAGAGGCGTACTCCATTAAAGAATTGTCATATAACTTTTGGTGCTATTTTAGAGAATTGTCATCTTTTTCTTAATTAGTTCATATTAATTAATAAATGACATTGAAATTTATTTATTTAAGCTAAATATTCTATATATTATGTTTTTTTTTAACAATTCAATATTATATTTTAAATTAAAATTAGTATTTATGCTTAGAAATTCGAAAATCGCTTAAAACGATGAATATTTTATACGATAAAAAGAGAGGGAGGATCTTATGTATTAACAATCCTTCAGTCTATATATTTGTCTTCTTTTCTTTTGTTAAGTGTTAATATATCTGTCTTTTGTGTGTAATTTAAAAAAAAATGAAAATGTTAAATTAATTCAACCAAAAGACCATATTTATAATGATAATGTAAGTTCAAAATGAATTAGTTTTGACTTTTGACATTTATGTCTTTAATACTTCTTGTTATCTGATTTTATTTTTTGAATCTCATGGTCTCTATATAACTTTATCCATTTAACGCAAATTAGGGTCGAATTTTGTATATTTAATTAATAAATGAAAATGAGTGCATTGTAAACGTAGTCGGAAGAAAAAAAAAAAAAAAAAACGTAGTCGAGAGCGACTATTATGGGAAAAAAACCATGTATCGTTTTTCTCGTTACGAATTAGACTCAGACACGTCGTCACCAGTAACCTGGTTTCCAAGACTATTTTTAATTATTAAAAATAGAAGGATGAATAAAGATCTAACATAAAGAATATTATTCCTTTTTGCCCTTTTTCAAAAAGAATGGCGAAAGAATGTCGACATAAAATGTACGGGCTTATATAGCACCCAAGTTGACTCCTCTCTAAGCTGGAGAAAAATAATGCTAATGAAGCTTAAAGATATCAAGTCAATCTCTAATTATGTCGATATTATGACTCATTTTCATCTCCAACTGCATACTTTTTCATTTGATTCTTATATTTAAATATATTTAATTATATACGTATCTATCTTGACACAGTTATGTATACACATTATCTTTTTGGATATAGATTATCTTATTATTATTTTTGTAGAATATAAATTTTTTTTGTCAATGAATAATATATTTATTTAACAAGTTTCTTAATTTTATACAAATATATTTAACATATAACTTATTATATTACAGTTTTTATATAAATTTAGTTATTTATTTATCGAAACATATCTTTCTGGATACAGATCAGCTTTGTTATTTTATTTCTAGTTTGATGTCTATGTATTTATTATTTTTTGAAAAATATTATGATAGAAAAAATCAACTAATTATTTTGAATTGACTATTTATTTTGTAATGACATTGCTACTAAATTTTATAATTCAGATATTTAACTAATATTAGCATATAAGGCCTTTGTTCAAAAATAAGATATTAGTGTATATGTAGAGTAATATCACCATCTAGGTTTAAAGACATAAAGCTGTTAAATGATACATCTTTATACAAAGAACTAAAGATGAGCCAAAGTTTTCCCTATAGTCCATAACTCTGCATATTTGGTTCATCTTCCTTATTGTTGCACTAAACGTTATACACTTCCATAATTATAATTTTTTCAAAAACCAAAAATAATAATTATTGTGAATTTATCAGTTTCACCACCTATATAAATTTAAATTTTAAAACCTTTAATCTAGTGTCCTTATGGTTTATGAAATTTTTCTAAAACTACACTAAAAAACCAAAAAATCAATTAGAGATTGACTTGATATCTTTAAGCTTCATACATTCAAAGCTTCATACCTTTGGGTGAGTTTCATTTTGATTGAGGATACTCGAGTCAGAAATTAACCTTAGTGTCTCGATTTTTGTAAAATCAGATCATATATATATCATTCAAAGTAATTACATAAGCGTATAAAAAGACGAACAAATTAATGATCTTGATATTGCGGTAAACCAAAGCCAAATGAAAGCTTCTTCCTCTTCGAGGTTTTGGTCTTCTTATGATATTTGTGACATTCTATTCATGGTCTTAAACTACAGTATTTAATTCCAAGCTTCATCTTTAGTAGGATTCAAACTCTAATCGTCTTTTTCATTTATGAGTTGGACTGGCGAAGATAACATATACGTGATGTTCTCTTTTTCATATATTGACCCTCAACAGAATCACATTCTCTACAGTACATGGCATTTTAGTATTGGCTTCGATTTGAATGCATGAACACAGGTGATCTTTTCATGTAAACAGATATTATTTTCTGTTTTAAATTAACAGACATCAATGTTATACATCAAATTACTGCAGGAATTCACGAATTCAAGTACACAATTTTAGCAGATACATAAGAGATCACAAATTTTACAAAATGTCTAAGAAAAGCATCTAAACAGAACCATAATTCTATCTTCTTCTTTTTTGGGGTCAAATTTATTTCCATTTATGCTATCTAAATATACTATCTCTGGTTTTGGAGTTTTACATTATCATCTAACATGTTAAATTGTTGATAAGTTATAACCGTTGTAATCATCTATAACAATTTGCAATAAAACATTTTAAGACAGCAAAATCACTTCGTGTTTGAACATATTGGATATGCTTTTTTTTTTTTTTTTTTTTTTATCATTTGGTAATAATAACAATTTGCCATTCACCTAAATAATTTTTGTTGTTGTCAACCCTACGATATATCTGATTCTTTACTTTTTAAATATATCCTAGTTTAAACAATTTACTTTACCATTACTCTCCGAGCTATATACTTTCTTTGTTTTCAATAGTAGATTTTTAATACTTTTCACATACATTAAAGCACTTTTAACAGATTATTCTAACATTTTATAAAATATTACTTAAAATTTATCTTTAAATGATAAACTTTATACGAGTAAATTAAAAACCAGCATTCAGAAATAACTATATATGAAAAACTGAAAATATTTAACCTTTTGAAGAAATAAATAAATTAAATCATCTAATTAATAATCAGAAACCAAAAGAATATAAGTACACACAAATATACAGTAGAAACTCTATAAATTAATAATTTTAGGATCGGAAAAAATTATTGATTTATCTAGTTATAAATTTTAATAGTTGTTGAATTATAAGTTTTGGAATCGGACAAAATTGTTGATTTATCGAATTTAATAATTTATCAAATATTAATTTATAGAGCTCCTACTGTAATAAGTACACATAAAAGCAATTTTGACGTCAAGTGAAAACTATCTTATTATATAAAGTTGGATGCGTCAAAACTAATAATTCATATGATCAGGAATACGAATAATACTTCTTTAGCTTCATTCTGTAGGTATAATTTTTCATATTTTATTATATTATTATTAAAACACTTTATACAGTATTCCAAAATTTTATCAATTATGATTTCTTCGGTATTCTAATTTTTTATTCTTTATGATTCGTTTGCTGAATATTGTATTCGTAAGTGTTTCTGATATTCAATAATTAGACAATTATAAAAAAAAATATATGCAAAATTTGCAACTTATAATTACAAAAAAAGGAAATTCTATATAGTAATAATATAAATTAGACTCAATGAAGAGGAGGAAATCATGTCAATTAAATATAAGGTACAACACTAATTCTAAAAAAAAAGAAAACAGATATATCTCAAATAATAAAGTAAAATAAAAATAAAACTAAATAAGATTTAACTTCAATTTAGGAAAATCTAAGTTAAAACACTAATCATATAAGAAAAAGGAAAATAATATTCAAAAAATAATAGGATATATTTCAATTAAAAAGAAAAGAAAATATAACCAAACTAAATAAGATTAACTTCGGTTTAAAAAAATTTAAGCTAAAACACTAATCTTAAAATAAAAGGAATAATAATATTCACATCTATACAAATAACAAAATTTCTAATAATTTTTCACCAAGAAATATAATTCTTCTACCACTTTAATTTAGTTGGTATCATTTTCCTTATGTTGATATTACTACAACCATACGTTACGTTAATAGCATTGCCTTAGGTTACTTACAATCAATTATGCATTACATTACCTACAATCAATTATGCATTACGTTATATGTACATTAATAACATTACGTTATGTTATCAGGATACATAGTCATGCATTAGGTTATGTTACGTTATATGTTGCTATATAACTCTTTTAATTACTCTTCCTTTTATTTTGCAAGTTATAATTACTCTTCTAACTTCAGTTTTTTTTTCAATATTCTTTATAGTATAAATATTATCAAAACAATGAGTTCAAAGTGTTCAAATTAACCAGAGCAATTATTGGCATTCTTCTATTCATCTTGTCTTTTAGATATATTTTATCTTCAACAAAATAAATCACATCTATTAATCAAAAAGATGAATCGCCTTTTATATCTTTTATTTGTCATGTTATTGTGTGTGAGATTGGGTAACGCTAAGTTATGGGCTAAAAATGGTGTACACTTTAAAAACTCTCTTGGTCTGAACAATGTTCTCAGAATTTTTTGTAAATTCAACGATGAACAACTTGAAGTTATGTTTTTACAACCTGAACAAACAGCAGATTTTTATTTTCATGATAAATTCATTTTCAAAAACAAAATCAATTGTAACTTATTGCGACTTGGAACTCACAATGCTCACACAACGATTAGAGCATTTACAGGTGGAAGTGGAGCATTTGATCATGGTAAACAGAATTATTGGGATGCTAGAGATGATGGGATTTACTTTACACATGGTAAAGAAATATCCAAATTAGAGTATAAATGGTTGTAATATGTTTTTAATTAAACAAATAAAAATCTTTTGTTACTCATAAGAAATGAAATTTGTTGATGTTTTAACTGCATTTTTTAAAATTTTGTTTGTTATAGAATTTTATTGAATAAAAAAATTGTAGATCCGGGCCGATGGTTTCTATAGTTCCGGCATCGGCCTGGTTACTTATATTTAAAGTTCCAAGGGCATAAAAGACTCTAACGTCGTAATTCATCAACTTTTCTGCACACAGATGAACAATTGGTTTAATTATATATTAATCCCGAAACTATTGATTAATTTAGCTAGACACGTATGGAAGAAGCTGAACCTGGAATCTTTACCCTCTCTACTAATTGCCTTCTGTAAAAGCTGTGTAGTGTAACACTTGATTAACAGAAATTAGTGGTCGGTAGAGACGTAGAGAGTATCGTTAATCTCATGCGTTGGGATTTAATTCGTGGCTCTCACTAGTCTTTCGTCTTTACAAGAAACAAGAAAGAGAGATACTGTACTTGTTTGAGTTATTCTACTCTTTTGGTCTATAATCACATTTTCTTTCACAGTAAGTTCACAAAAGATTTAACTTTCTAACCTCGTTTGGGAACACTACTTTTTGATTATTTCCAACAACAATTTTGTTATCAACTAGTAGGAAAATCGAATTTCTCAAATAAATACTAAACACCAGAAAATTAAACCGTATGAAATCAAATTTCTCAAATAGTTACACTTGGCAAACGAATTATTTAAAGAACCGACTTCGACCAATTGGTATTTCAATATAATAACGAGTTGAGTTGGATGTTTCATTTATGGCACACACGAATTATTGACTTATCCTATTTCAGACAATCGCATCATTACTTTCATAACACACTTCCCCCGTTATACATAGATAAACAAAAAAATAAAAGATGAAACAAAAGATACACAAAGATACAACGTATCGAAAAAGAAAACATGCGTATACAAAAAAATCAACAACGATGAGACAACTTAACCAAAGACAAGCACGCACGTTCGAATTTTCAACACACACACACACATCACACACTCTCTCTTTCTAAACATTGATATTATATGTTAAGCAGATGCATTTACTGAGAGAGAGTTATAAAGAGTGAGAGGCTAAGGGAGTTTAGTAGAAGTGGCCATGAATAAACTAACCTTCGGTTTCCACAAGACAAATTTGTTCATTACTTGTTGTCTTTTGCTTCCATCTTAACGGCTTTCTCTTTATCGTCTTCAAATTCTTCCTCCTCGTCATAGTATCGTTCATTTTCGTCCTCGTCGCTGCCCATGTCATGGTCGAAGTATTCTTCATAGAACTGATCGTCTGTGTCATCATCCTCACCGTTCTCCAGCCTGTTTCTGGGAATTTGTTTGATTAGCCTCTCTTGGATACTGTCTCTGATTGCAGTTCCCTGTTAACATTTTAGGCTTTTTGTCACTTTTAATCAAAGGTTATACAGACATGAGTATGAACTTATTATTAGCGTATGTATTGTTTAGTCAATAGTGTCTTCACGATTTTACTTACCATCTTATGGCAACCTTCTTCGAATATTTCGAGAAATCCAGCGACCCATCGATCTGCATTCTCTACCCACTCGTTGCGCAGCATTTTTACAGTTTTCATCTGGAAAATCCGGGTTTAGACATTAACGTAAGAACAGGCAACTGAAAAAAATATAAAAATACTGCTACGGGATCAGTCTGTTCAGTTAAGATGCATATCACGCATGAACGTAATCGTCAGGAGATCATATTACTAGTTAACGCAAGAAACTGCATGAAGGTTTTACAAGCAGCAGATCAAAGTTATCAGGCTGCTACTACAGGGATGAAATCATTTAACAGCTTGATATCGACTTGCACTACTACTATACATAAAAAAGAAGCACCACTTCTAAAACCCAATAAACACAACAAGAACACGCAAAACCAAAGAAAGAGATAACACTGCTTTTTGCTAAGAGGCTGAAACTCTTAAAGATGAGAACGAGATTTCAGGATATGAGAAGTTGGACTGCAAACGTGACACAGTAAGGTGTTTAAACAGTCCGTGAATAACTGAATATACAGAGGGTACAAGTTCGAGAGGAGACGAGAATAGGCGGAAATAAAACCTATACTTAGATAATATTCCTTGTAACCTATGATGGAACAGCTTATATCAATAAAATGCAATACAGTCAAAACGTCAGACTTATGATGATCAATTAAGAAAATGGAGGTTTGAGAGAAGACGTACCTTTTCTCCAACTTTTTCTTGTTGTTCTTTGACCCTCTCCTGGAGTTTCTTTAGTCTCATGTTAACTCTAAGTCTCTTTTCCTGTTGCAAATTGACAAAAACCCAAATTGACTCCTCCAAGTGAAGATTTTTTTGTTGCAAAAACAACAAAATGAAGAGGGAAAAGAAATAATGTCCTGCCTTCACAAAGCTGACTCCAAGATCTTCCCTTGAATATCCTCTATCCAGGTTACGCATGACATACTGGTTGTAATCTTTCACTATTCTCATTATTATGTCCGAGGTTGATATCCCTTCAGTTCGCATTGTTTCCTTAAACCTCCCAACTTTCTTAACCTGCATCAAATGCTCAGTTAAACCAGAAAACTACAAAAGTGTAAAAAAAGCAGGAGTATGATGAAAATCCCCCCGACTCACAAATTCATAGACATCCTTTCCAGCTCCGCTAGTGTCAGCATACCTGTTGATCATATCAAATCAAAGAAGGTTAATGTAGTTCTCCAATCATCTGAACAAGAAGAGCATATCTAACAAGAAGGTATAATACTTAAAACTTTCCAAAACTAGATCAAGATCAACACAAAAAAGACCAGACACAGGTTCTTACGGAAGGGAATCATGGGCTACATAATCAATCCTGTGCTTGTCAAGAAACTCTTGGTTGATCACCCATGGTGCATCAGGGATGACTTCATCCACCCACCTGTATAATAAAAACGACTTGTCCTTAAATTCCCATTTCGTTACCACATCCATGGCTTCTATTATATCACACATATACAACACAACAAAGGAGAAGGACAATTACTTGCAATGCCGAAGTGATTCATATCGCTCTTCTGCAGTCATTACAGTCCTTCCCTTGTACTTATGTGTAGTTTCATCGTTGCAGCATCCAACAAGAAGGTAAGTGTTTGGAAACCTGCTCGACCGATAAACGAATGGCAAAACCATAGCAAAGCAGAAGAAACCATTACTCTAAATTTCTCTTTGAAAAAGAAAAGAAAAAATCGACTTATACTTCCTCAAGAGAATCCAGAAACATCAGCTATTGCAAAATTCTAAAGAAACGAAACATATACAAAGAGACCCACTAAAATCACGCACCACAATGCTTTGCAAACTCACAAATTTTGGCAGTAGTATCAATCAACACAGATCAAATAATCTAATAAGGAAGATTTCTCTCGACGAACACAACAAAATCTGCACAGCTTGCAAGGAACCCGATTTAATAGATCACAGATAACTAACACTCACACAGCGAAAATTGAGCAAGCGTCAAGGAGAGGAAAAAAATTGAATCAGGGATGCTAATTAGGGAAAGATATCTCCGGGAGATAAGAAGTACTAACGATTTCTTGGCCTGTTCGAGAGATCGAGCGTGACCAAAGTGGAAAAGATCGTAGATCCCATCGGCGTAGACGCGGACGGGGCGATCAGTGGGAGGCGAACTCTGTACGGTTGTAGAGGCTGGGACTGCGACGGCGGTGGAAAGGCCGTCGTCAGTGCGATCGCCGGAAACGTTGCTCATGTTCTCCGATTGAAGAGCCGAAAATCACCCGCCTTATAATAATATAAACGGAAAACTCCAAACAAAAAAAAAGTGCTAGTCGCTTCCCTCTTCTGGCACCATTTTTTTTGCCAAGAAAATATCTATCCTCATGTGAAAATAAAATAAAAATATACGTCATATTGATTTCTCCAAATTTTTCTTATTTATTTGAGAGAAATGAGACCATATAAGTTATATACGTTAATACATCATAAGATACTATAAGAAAGTTAATTATAGGGAATAATTGTTTTAAAGGTTTTTTTAGTTGACTACTTCCTCTGTTTACTTTTTTTTTTTGTTATTCCCAGGTTAACGAATCAGTGGATAGTGGCACGCACACGACACGCACAAGTGAGTCAATGACCAAGTCTAAGGTTTGTCTAAATGGCCCTCAAGGTCAACGACGGTTGGCTATTATTATAACTTTCAATGCTAATCACTTCAAAAAGCCAATTCCATACATTTTTCTGTTTCTGTACAAATAAGCATATTCAAAACACATGAAAACAAAAAAAAACAAGCTCTTGAGCTCGTTCTGTTAGTGGGACGAACGGTGATCACTCGGATGGTTTGTACGACCAGAGCCCTGATATTGTGACGACTCCATTGTCTGCCCAAATAAGTACAACAAAACGATGTAAGCAAGAAACATTTTGAGGAATTGGGTTCGTTATTGGATGTTTATCTCTGCTTCTTGTCTGATATGGTTTTTGTTTTACAGCATGTCCCTTTAGAGTATGAGTACATACCATGTCGTGCAGAGTTTCTTCCATGTCATAGCAGCCACGGATAGTGCTTCCCCTGAAACCTGTCTGTCCCTGAAACTAGACAATTAACAATAAAGACAAAGATCATTCTTTCTTTAAGGCAATTTGACTCTGGAACAAGAGAAAGATGAAAAGTATTTATCTACGCAAACATACTAAAGTCGCATAAAACATCAACTCACAGCTCCTTGGATGCTTAGTTGTGTCTCGTATTGATTCATCCGTCCATGAAGTGAATGTATGTTTCCCTAAACCAAACGTAAATATGATTCACACGTAAGGTTATGCAAGAAAAGCTCGGAAACCAAAAGAGAGATAGATAACGCAGTTTCACCATGGCTTGTATTGTTTGCGGATGTCCATAGTAACCATCTTGATAGGAAGAAACCGATGAGAACTGCGAGAATAACAAGAACAGTACACAGTTTTCAATTAAAAAAAAAAAGTAAGATAAAATAGTTAAACCAAAGAAACGAAAACGTCACGGGTTTGAAGTTAAACCCACTCCTTGAATAGTCTGTTGAGTTGAATAATAGATCCCAAGAGGTGCTGCAGGGGAGCCTATTTCGGTTGCTTCCATATCTGCTTGAGGAATGTAACAGTTCTCAAAGGTAGGAGCTCTAGAGCTAACTTGTTCCTGCACATGAAAGAGCCTATATTATAGTTCAATAAAATAGGTTGCCATGAGTAACAGTTGTCAGAAACTGGGAGATTTCAGAATACATGGCACAGATCAAATTTCTTACGGTTTCTTGACGGAGTTCTTCAGACTTGTTTGTTGCATCCTCTGGCCCATAATATACCTTTTAACACGAAAAACATCCATCAGATCTTTCCGCTATGCCAGCAAACTACAAATAATCTCACAAGATTTAAAGATCAATCCAAAAATCACCTGTCTTTTCTTCTGAATTTTCTTTTTCCTGGACAATTTTGATGCACAGTCCAACATACTTTCATTTTCTAAGCCAATAGATCCACTTGTCATTAACTTGACTGGCTCTGAAGAAAACTTGGGAGAATTGTTCACACTAGCACAGTTCTTCAATGTTACCTCCAACAACTTCAAAGCAGTCTTGTAGGCTTCATCTGATGAAGATGCAACTCCTCCAAGCTTGACAAAGCGCCTACAGAGATCATCAAAACGTGCCGTTCGGTTATGTATTGCGACACATTTTTCGTGGTGTTTTTCTTCTCTGTTGTTACCGTTCTTTGACCAGCGATTCAATATATACTGAGTCGGAATGCAGGAAACATCAGAGTTTTGAAGTACGAGTATCGCATGTTTGCAGAGGAATCCTTGGTACTCGAATAAGTGACAAGAGCAACACACATCCAACAGCTCTCTGTTCAAAGCAACGAAAAAGTTTTGGCGTTTCTCGAAATCTTCAACGCAGAATATTGCTGTTGTCCCATCTTCTCTTTCTTTCTGAAGTTGACAAGAAACAACTCCCAGTACCTCAGCTTGGAACTTCTTAAAAGCAGCGTCTGTGTAGATCAAGGAAAGTTGTTTCTCGAAAGCCAAAGAAGACCTTAGTGTAGGCTGTTTGCTCTGAGATTCAAGATCATCCTTTGCTTCTTCATCACATCGATATTGCAGAAACTTCGTGTAGAATTCAAAGAAGTCCTTGAACGTCGCCTCTGAGTTCATATACTTGTCGAAATGAGAGGCGATACTTCCAGATCTTTCAGGTCCAGACATTCCAGCTAAACAAACTCCGTGAAAATAACATGGCACCCACTTTTTCCGATCTCTAAACAACGAGTGAACCCACTCATTCTCGCTTAGCTCGAATTTACCAACCATCTCTGACCACATCCTCTCGAACTGTTCATCTGTCCCAGAGCCGTCCACGCAGCTTTTGAAAATTTCCACAAAACCATCATCTTGACTCACAAAAGGATCCAGCATCTCAGGAAATTTACTCACCACGTTCCACAAACAGAAACAATGACGAGCACTTGGAAAGACTTCAGCAACAACGTCACTTAGAAGCTTATCCTGATCCGTTACCATCACTCCAGGAGCTTGACCTCCCACTGCTTTAAGCCATGTCCTAAACAGCCACGAATATGTTGACTCGCTCTCTTCCCCAATCAAAGCACATCCAAGCAACACGTACTGACGGTGATGACTAACCCCGACAAAAGGAGCAAACGGGATTCTATATCTGTTCCTAACATAAAAAGTGTCGAAGAGAACAACATCAGAGAAACAGTAATAGTCCTGCTTAGCCTTCGCATCAAGCCAAAACACATTCCTAACACGCCTCTCACGGTCGAAATCCACCGCATAGAAGAAACCAGGCTGCGTATCTTGCATCTCCATAAAATGCTCGAGCATCAGCTTCATCTCTTCCTCTTCTATAGCTAACTGAAGACCTTTCTTCTGATGTGCTGCTAACGCACCAGCAGGCTTGTTCTTCCCCCTTACGCTAACGTAAAAATCATCTGCGCAGATCTCGTGGTTATGTTCTTTCACGAAACTATATATAACCCATTTCTCGTCTTCTTTCCTCTTCATATGCAGACCAGCTTTGCAACCCGTTTTAGGACACGACCGCGGGTTTACAGAAGCGCTTGCCTCTCGCTTGGTTCCGAATCTCGAACATGCTATTTTGACGTCGATGAACTTTCCCGATCTCTTTGAACGACGGCTAGCTTTTATTGTGATGCCAAATCCCACTGCTCGAGCATATTCTCTGTAGAAATAGTACGCAGCCTCCTTTGATTCGAACTCCATCCCGTTTCTGAGCTCACCAACTGTTGCAAACTGCTCTAAGCTGTTATTAGCATTGTGGCCACTCGTACTTGCCTCACAAAGCTCGTCTACATTGCCACTTCTTGTATGAAGATCTATTGCGACATCTTGAACATCCATCTTAATTGAACTATCACGACCATCAATCAACACCTACATTTGATCCAATTTTATTCAACATCAAATCCGAATGACACCATGTTCGATCACACACATGTAAAGTAAATAGTATTGGACACAAACCATAACACAATTACTACTTAACATAGCTCCAACTTAATTAACCGGAAACAACTAATTAGACCGATATCTACATAACTCCCACATTTTGAGATTTGCGAATTCAGATATCCAGCAATTGCATACTACGAACTAGTGCAACCACTACTATCAGGATTTGAAGAACAACTTGCAATACCCAGAAAAATTAGAACAAGAAAACAGAAACCCAAATTCAAAACTTCAAAATCAAACCTCTCGAGTTCGTATTTTCTCCGTCGTCTTTCTCTTTTATAGCTAGTTCCCTAGTCTAGCCTTTCTGGCACATGGGTGCAAAAGAAGAACAGCATCGTTTCGCGCGAAACGAAAGGAAAATGGATTCAGCGAGAGAGAGAAGTCCATAATGAGGTCGAGCATTGAACGAGATGCTGCCGGAAAAAATAAAAACCGAGCACCGTAGTCAATTAAGGATTTTTTTTTTTTTTTCTCTTTTTTTCTGAATGTTCAGGTTAATTGTTTTCGGTTAATAGCAAATCGACCCTTATATTTTCTATTGATTTGAGAAATGTTCCACGTTTAAAAAGGTATACAGACAGCCCACTTTATAAGACAATTGACGTTGATGTGGGTTGTTTATCAATCTTGAGCTGGGCCTGTTCTTTTTTTGTTTTTGTTTTTCTATGTTTTGTATTAGTAACATACATTATAGAATAGATTTCTAGTTAGAATTATAAATGTAGAATGTTGTTTTGTTAAAAAAATTTTTTGTTTTAATGTTATTGGGACTTCTCTGATATATATAAAGACTGTTAGTATTAATTATGAAACAAAATTGAAAAAAGTCAGGAAAGGCATTAGCTACGTTTCTTTGAACTTTGACCCAATGTGGAAGTTTCGATAGCCGCCAATTTGGTTAAGTTGACCACCTTTAAATTCATATAGTTCCTCAATTTCATACAAAAATAAAGGGGTTAGAACTTACATGATTCATTTCAAATTGTAAATTGTGACTTTGACGAAAAGTTGGTTTAGCGTTGAAGCTCCTTGAACATAAAAAATATTTAATACTTTAAAACAAATTTTTTTCTAAAGCATTTTCTATTTAGGAACAAATCGAATTGATTACTAATTTTGTTGATGTAAGGCTTATTGTTTTGTAGCCATTAGTGACGATTCATTTTCCTTTTACTCAACTTGGAAATGAAAAATTCTGTAAATTCAACGTGATGTGGATTTTGAAACCAAAACAAAAACAAAATGAATAAAAAAGTGAAAGTGTCTCTATTAGGGGGAAAATAAATGGAAATAAAAGCTGAGGGGTCAAATCAAAAAGAAAGAAAAGAGTTTTCAAGGTGAGGACGGTTTGGTCGGTCGGTGGCTCATTGGTGTCTGTGGGCCTTCTTACTCTGCCTTTTTCGGCCAGCCAGCCATTCAAGCCACCTCCTCTCTTTTTGTTTTTCTTCTGTTCTTCATAAATTACAATTCTGCCCTTATTTTTAGTCTTTTTTTTTGCTTTTCATGATCTTAATTTCTTTTTTTCTATTACAGTGATTATATAAATCATAATAATCAATCATCATAAAATACTACATATTTATTTAAGGTAAATTTATATCATAATTCATAAATATGACAATTAATTATGGTAAGCTTATGATATTTTTACTTAGTTAAGAAATAAAAGTATTAAAAGGTTTTACGCATACGATCACTAATATTAATCACTAATAACATAAAATCTGTTATTAATATCTGATTTTTTGGTTACTGATCCTCTTTTTATTTTCATCATGATTATATTTCTAAATCTTTGGTCATTAGTAAAATGAAAGGTAATTGCTAATTTAGGGGTAAGAATGATAATGACAGAAATCAAGGGGCATAATGGGAAATAAAAACAAATTTGACGGTCTCCTCGTCCGCCAGATTTGTCTTTCAAAAAAAAAATATGAATCGGCCCCACACACTGTCCACTTTATAAACCCTAAAAGATTCTCTTTCTCTCTCACACCCAATTTGCATTTCTTCGTCATCATCTACTCTTTTTCTTTCTTTCTTTCTTTCTTCATTTTATTTTCCTGCGAGAAAATTCAAAGTATTCAAGGAAAAAATCCAAAGAAGGAAGAAAAAACAGAGTAACAGTTCAGATTCAGCAGTTTCACTTGGTAAGCTCTTTCACCTCCCTCTTTATTTTTTTCACTTGCGAATTCGTTGGTCTTTTTTTTTAATATATGATGAATCCTCTTAGTGTTATAAACGTTATTCTACTTCGTGATCTTCCCTTACTGTAAATCTAATCGATCACAAATCCATTCAGATCGTTAATTTCAGTTTTCTAATATGGGTTTTGTATAAAGTTTTTGTTGGGCGATTCTTCACCTTCTTCTTCGTAGTTACTGATCCTATCATTTGTTTAATTTTGAAATTAATCGATCTAAGCCGCTTGTCTCTCTGTTTTGAATCTCTGAAGATCGAAATCGTTTGCGATTAATCGTTTTACCTTCTTGATCAAATCATTTTCTAGTGTACTAGTAGTAGGATCTATTTTGTCGATTAGGACTTCAGAGCTTTGACTTGAGCGTTCTATAGAACACTAAACACTGAAATTTTAGTTTTTTTTGTATTTTTTGTTTTTTTTTTGTTTTTAGAAATTTTAGTATGAACATTTTGATTATGGTAAAGTAAGGTGAACAAATCTATGATTGTCGATACGAAGTATGGATTTTTTAGAACATATAGTGGTAGGTTCTGGGAAAAAGTATGATATTAATCACCAACCTTCTTTAAATTACCAGATCATACTGTTAAATATTTAAAACATGATGATTAGGAACATGCCTTTTTTTTTTTTTTGGTGTTAAGCTTGCAGCTTTTGACAAACAAACAAAAAACGAAAGCTCACTTGTATCGTTACAGATGTCTTTGTCTATATAGGTAAATGATTAGACCAATTTAGTGTACAATTCAAGAAAAAACTTATCCAAAATTAGGAAAAATTCTTCTTTAATACAATAAGATTGGAAATGAAATTTACTTGGAAATTGGATCGGAACAAGCGAAAAACATGTTTGTAATGGTCCTACCCATAAAAATTAAAGTTAATAGGTTCTTCTTTGATTCTTTTGATTTTCTAACAAAGAAAATTCGTATGATCTACTTGAATTAAAAAATATATATTAAAAATAGTCTAACGTTACAAAATTTATAAAATACAAATGAGTTCTTTGTTTTGTTGTTACAAACCACTGGCCCATGAGTCACCGCTACATCTGGTCGGCGCGCCTTACGATTCTATTCTTTCCCTATAATATATTCATTTAATTAAACAATATGTTTGTTATTTAGTTTCTTAACCTTTTGTTTTGCAATAATGTTCTTGGATACTTTTTTTTGTGGCATAATGGTGAACCTCTTTTTTTTTCCTTTTCTTATCTAACACATCAGAGCATTTTTTCTATACAAAAAGAAAAAAACTTTGATGTTAGCTGGTCTGGTGGGTACTTTACACCATACTTATCTTTAATTTGTTTGGTAGAGCTTTTATTAATATAATAAGCATACCTTGTTCATTTGTATCATGGTGGAGATTGTTGGGTCATGAGTGACTCTGCTAACATCACATGCTATGGCCCATAATAGCTATTGATCTTTCTCTTCTGCAGTTTGTTTTGGATTCTTTAGCTTTATGATCTAAAACTAAAAGTGTCATTTCTTGTAAAACAATAAAACTGAACGAAATTAGAAATCTAGTATTGAATTGGTATTTCAAATAATTGTAACGAGAGATGATGTATACCTGTTGACCCTCACAATTAATATCTTATCTTGTTTGTTTTCTATCTAAATTTTGGAAATTGGCTTTCTCTTTCTTGCAAGCTACTGTTTTTGTCTTTTTTATTGATTTATTTGTGTAAAGAATTCCTAAGCTGATAAGTAGAAGTATATCATCTTCGAACTTCCTCTCATGCGAGATCCCTTTTCTTAATTTCTGCAGAACTAAAAGTAACCGTAACTGCTCGATCATAGGATGGAGGAAGCAACACAAGTAGCGAGTCCCGAGGTCCCTGTAGTGAAAAGTGATGCTGTTGACCTTAATACAGCTGATGTTTCCGTCAAGGTAATGACCATTTAGTGTTCGGTTTCGAAGAGTTATCTGTTTACTCATGACTATGGATTTTTTTTTCTGTAAATTGATGCGCGTCTTGCATAAGATTTTATTTGTTTAGCGTATTGAATCTGCCATCTGTCTAAGAAAGTTCTAAGTAGCAGCAAAGGTGTAAGTAATGTTGTGGAAGATTTAAGTATTTCTTGATTTATTGCAGCCTGTGAATGGAGGAGTGACAAAGGAAGGGAAAGAAGAGGAAGATACAACAGATGGGGAATTCATAAAAGTTGAGAAGGAAGCTTTTGATGCCAAGGATGATGCCAAGAAAGCAGAGCATGTTCCTGCTGAAGAGCAAAAGCAAGTTTCAATTGAAAGAAGCTCGAGTGGTTCAGAAAGAGAACTACATGAATCACAAGAAAAGGCGAAGGAACTAGAGCTGGAATTGGAGAGAGTAGCAGGGGAGCTGAAACGGTATGAATCTGAGAATACCCACTTAAAGGATGAGCTTTTGTCTGCGAAAGAGAAGTTAGAAGAAACGGAAAAGAAGCATGGAGAGCTCGACGTCGTCCATAAGAAGCAGCAAGAGAAAATTGTTGAAGGGGAAGAGAGACACAGCTCTCAGTTGAAGTCCTTGGAAGATGCTTTGCAGTCCCATGATGCCAAAGATAAAGAACTAACTGAAGTTAAGGAAGCTTTTGATGCATTGGGCATAGAACTCGAGAACTCACGAAAGAAGTTGATAGAGCTGGAAGAGGGGCTAAGTCGTTCAGCTCAAGAGGCTCAGAAATTTGAAGAGCTGCATAATCAAAGCGCTTCTCATGCTGACTCTGAGACGCAGAAGGCTTTGGAATTTGCACAGTTGCTTGAATCGACGAAAGACAGTGCCAAGGAGATGGAGGAAAAAATGGCGTCCCTGCAGCAAGAAATTAAGGAGCTGAATGATCAGATTTCTGAAAATGAAAAAGTTGAAGCGGCGTTAAAGAGTAGTGCTGGAGAATTAGCTGCAGTGCAAGAGGAATTAGCAGTTTCAAAATCTCGTTTGGTGGAGACGGAACAAAAAGTGTCTTCCACAGAAGCCCTCATTGATGAACTGACTCAGGAACTTGAGCAGAAGAAAGCTTCCGAAACTCGGTTCAAGGAAGAGTTATCTGTTCTCGAGGATTTGGTTGCTCAGACCAAAGACCTTCAGGCGAAACTTTCTGAACAGGAAGGTATTAATTCAAAGCTCGGGGAAGAACTCAAAGAGAAGGAACTGTTGGAATCCTTATCGAAAGACCAAGAAGAGAAGCTGAGAATTGCAAATGAGAAGTTGGCGGGAGTGTTAAAAGAAAAAGAAGCACTTGAAGCAAATGTAGCAGAGGTCACAAGTAATGCAGCTAAAGTAAAAGAGATCTGCAGTGAACTAGAAGAGAAACTGAAGACTTCAGATGAAAATTCCTCCAAGGCAGATGCTCTTCTGTCTCAAGCTTTGTCAGAAAAATCTGAACTTGAGCAGAAACTGAAATCGGTGGAGGAGCTTCACAATGAAACTGGATCTGTAGCAGCAGCAGCTACTCAGAAGAATCTTGAGCTCGAGGAGGTTGTTCGGTCCTCTAGTCAAGCAGCAGAAGAAGCAAAATCACAGATCAAAGAGCTGGAGACACAGTTCACTGCAGCTGAACAAAAGAACGTGGAGCTAGAGCAGCAACTAAACTCATTGCAACTGAAAAGCAGTGACGCGGAACGGGAATTGAAAGAACTCTCCGAGAAAGTATCTGAACTAAAAACTGCTGTTGAAGTTGCCGAGGAAGAGAAGAAACAGGCGACCACTCAGATGCAGGAATTCAAAGAAAAAGCATCCGAATTGGAATCGTCTCTGAACAAATCATCAGCCAGAAACTCAGAGCTTGAAGAGGATTTGAGAATCGCTTTGCAGAAGGGTGCAGAGCATGAAGACCGTGCTAACACGACTCACCAGCGCAGCATTGAACTAGAAGGTCTGTGTCAAACATCACAGTCGAAACATGAAGACGCAGAAGGAAGACTGAAAGACTTGGAGCTTCTACTCCAGACAGAAAAATACAGAATTCAGGAACTTGAGGAGCAGGTTAGCTCGCTAGAGAAGAAGTGTGGGGAAACTGAAGCAGATTCCAAAGGTTTCTTGGGTCAGGTGGCTGAGCTTCAATCCACACTTGAGGCATTCCAAGTGAAAAGTTCGAGCCTTGAAGCTGCTTTGAACGTTGCAACTGAGAAAGAGAGCGAACTGACGGAAAATCTAAACGCTGTGATGGGAGAGAAAAAGAAACTAGAAGATACAGTGAGTGAGTACAGCTCGAAGATCAGCGAGTCTGAGAATCTGTTAGAAAGTCTCAGGAATGAATTGAGTGTCACACAAGGAAAATTGGAGAGCATTGAAAAGGATCTTACAGCTGCTGGCTTAAAGGAGAGCGAAGTAATGGAGAAACTGAAGTCTGCTGAAGAGAGTCTTGAGCAGAAAGGAAGAGAAATAGATGAAGCTACGACGAGAAGGTTGGAGCTTGAAGCTTTGCATCAGTCTTTAAGTATAGACTCGGAGCATAGAATACAAAAGGTAATGGAGGATTTCACTAGCAGAGATTCAGAGGCCAATTCTTTGACGGAGAAATTGAAAGAGCTCGAGGACAGAGTAAAATCATATGAAGAGCAGTTGGCTGAAGCATCTGGCAAATCCTCTTCTGTGAAAGAAGAACTTGATCAGACTTTGGGAAAACTCGCTGCTGCAGAAACCGTTAATGATAAACTCAAACAAGAGTTTGGTGAGGCACAAGAAAAAACTTTGCAGGCGTCATCAGAAAATGAACTACTAGCAGAGACGAACAACCAGCTCAAGATCAAAATTCAAGAACTTGAAGGGTTACTAGCTTCGAGTTCTGTCGAGAAGGAAACTGCCTTGAAACAGTTGGAAGAGGCAATGGAAAGGTTGAACCAGAAAGAAACAGAGTTTAAGGACTTCATTGAAAAGCTAACAACACATGAAAACCAAATCGAGGAGCATAAAAGGCTTGCTCATGAGGCATCAGGAGTTGCAGATGCTAGACAGGTTGAGCTTGAAGAGGCTCTATCGAAATTGAAGAATCTTGAATCTTCTATTGAAGAGCTCGGGGCTAAATGCCAAGGGCTTGAGAAAGAAAACGGGGATCTCGCAGAGGTGAATTTGAAGTTGAACCAGGAACTGGCCAATCATGGATCAGAGGCCAACGAGTTGCAGACAAAGCTCTCTGTTCTGGAGGCTGAGAAGGAGCAAACAACCAAAGATCTCCAGGCTTCCAAGGCAGCCATAGAAGATGTAACAAAGCAGCTTACTTCTGAAGGGGAGAAATTGCAGTCACAGGTAATTATACCCTAAATCTAAATATGTTCTAATTACCATCTACATTGCCACACTTTTTGGTGTTTACTACAATCTTTGAGAAAATGACACCACTTTGTGTTGCAGATTTCTTCCCTCACCGAGGAGAACAACCAAGTCAATGCGGTGTTTCAGAGTACCAAGGATGAGCTCCAATCATTTATTGCAAAGCTTGAAGAGCAAGTAACCGTGGAGAGGTCCAAAGCTGATACTTTGGTGTCCGAGATTGAGAATCTCAGGGCAGTGGCTGCTGAGAAGTCTGTTTTGGAATCACATGTTGAAGAACTTGAAAAGAATTTGACAAAAGTCGAATCTCAGTTGAAAGAAGAGGTATTGCACTCATCTCAAACAGAGGAAAATAGAATTATTTTTGACAGTAGGGATCTATAAAGTACTGATATTCTGATCGGTGATGCTTCTACAGGTTGAAACTGCAGCTGCTGCGTCTGTAAAAGTGTCAGAACTGACCTCAAAACTGCAGGAACATGAACGTAACGCCAGTGACCGAGATGTGCTCAAAGAGCAAGTGCTTCAGCTTCAGAAAGAGCTTCAAGCAGCTCAGAGTTCCATCGCTGAACAGGTTATTGATCTTTCTTTTGTTTTTACCTTTATCTCAGATAAGCGCCTTGGGATTTTCTCTAGGTTGATAAAAAAGGCAAGCCATCTTTATCTCATTATGTCACTAAAAACTGAAACAAAATTCGTGGAAACAGAAACAAGCACACTCGGAGAAGCATACAGAGCTGGAGTCTGCACTAAAGCAATCACAAGAAGAAATTGAAGCTAAGAAAAAGGCGGTCACTGAATTTGAATCAATGGTCAAAGATCTTGAGCAGAAAGTTCAGCTCGCGGATGCTAAAGCTAAGGTCAGTCACAATTTCCCCACGCAGAACTTTGCTTGAGTGATAACATACATACATGTAATGCATAGATTATAACATCAACGCATACTTGCTTATATGGTCAAAAACCAAACTTTCAGGAAACGGAGGCAATGGAGGTAGATGTTAAATCTCGAGACATTGACTTGTCCTTTTCTTCTCCAACGAAACGTAAGAGCAAGAAGAAGTCAGAGGCATCTCCTTCTTCTTCGGGAAATGTTACTACTACTCAGACAGCCTCAACTTCGCATCTCATGTCAGTGAAGATCATCACTGGAGTTGCTCTGGTTTCCGTTATCATCGGTATGATTCTTGGGAAGAAGTATTAGTCTTCTCTGGTGTGTTGTGATGTTCATATGTGAAGATCTCTCCTTTTTTTGGTTTTTTGGGGGTTTTGAATTTTGATCAAACTCTCTCTTAAGCTCATGAGAGAGATATGATGCGTAGCAGAAATTATGAAGCTCTGCTTGAATTTGCTTCTCTCTGCAGATTGTTTTTGGTTTTTGTTTTTTGTTTTTCTGGGTTGGGGATTTTTTTTTTCTGGCTTGTAGGTCAAGCAATGTCATGTTAATGTACTATCAAATTATATGAAGGTGAAGGTTGTTAATTGCTCCACATGGTCCAGTTGAACCGCTTGGTTTAAAATAGACTCCGGTTTAGTCGACCCGCATTGCCTATATAAGGCCACTCCAGTGACCGTCTCTTTCCTCCATATCTCCCAACTTTTCTTTCCTCTATATTCCGAATTGAACTTTTACAGTGAGAAGAGAAGATGGCGCTAAGCATGGCGGAAACCCTAGAAACCGTAATCCATAACGCCCAAGAAACGGATTACTATTGCGATCCCGAGGAAGATGACATTGGTATCTCTCTCCTTCGTCTCAATAGCTTCGGGAGCTCCTCCGATCGCCGCCGCGCGAACTCGTCTCCTCCTCAGTTTCAATCGTATGGATCTTTCGGCTCTTCTTCCACCGTTGCCACCAGCCCCGTGAAACGCCCGTCCCCGGAGTCGAAAGAAGCCGACGAGCCCAGGCGCAAGAAGCTGTTTCATCCCCGACCCGAGGCTGAGGAAGACGAGAAAATGTCTAATCTCATGGGATATTCGAAGATTCCGCTTCCTCCTGCCGATTGCAATCCGACTCAAATCCGTTCGTCTCCTATCTACAGGCGATCTCTCTCCGATACGTTTGCTTCTCCCGTCGCATCTACATTCGGGTCGGGTTATACCCGAAGCGGCGTCGCTCAAGAAACAGCACCGTCGGGTAAAACCGTCCCTTCTCTCCCGCCACGGCCAAAGCCACCGGCCTTCCGGAGGTCCGTCTCCGATGTCTCGCCGTCGCCTTTCAAGGATCCTCTTGGATCTTCTCGCTACACTGCAATCCCTGAAGCTGATGTTGCGGATCCCGAAACCTCTGAAGCCAATAAGGTTAAGAAAATTATGTTGCAAGATTCATCATTTTTCTGTGAATTTCGAGAGTTTTGTTAGTCGTTTGAGAAATTCTGGGACTCTGATTCACTTGTTGCTCTGTTCATATCATCAGATGCTGTATGTGATCAAGGACGGAGTCCGAGAATTGGATCAGTGGTGTAACCAGCTCATCAAGTACGGTGAAGCAGTCTCTTCTGTCAAGCAAGACGACAGTCCTAAGGTTCGATTCTAATCAAACAATCTTCTGATTTGGGACGTTCTTGCTGATTGAACATGATGACTTTACTATGTTCTCTCATAATCTCTTAATCAAAGTCTTGATTCTGGGCATAAATGGTTTTGTTGCTGTGAAGGCGGAAGTTGAGTCGCAAGAGGAGGAGCAAGAGAAAGACTTTAAAGAAGGAGTTAAGGTGGACAGAGTCGGCGAGGCCTTTGTGGTTGTGATCAACTGTCCCTGTGGACGAAACTACCAAACTCTCTTCTCAGGCCGTGACTGCTACTACAAGCTCCTGTAGATATGGTTTGATAAGTCACACGTTCTTTGATTGATTCATCATCATAAGTGAAAGGATCTCTCCTGCTGCAAATTCATCACAAAGCTTCTGTAGATACACATTGTTCGAATCCATACGCACTGTTTCATACACATTATTTTCTTGATGTAGAACACTGTTTCATACACGTTGATCCGTATGCTCTGTTTCGTGCTTTGTATATAATCTCTTGTAGATACTAGCTAATAGATTCACATTGACATTGTTGAGTGTTCCATTGTCATACTTTTGTTGCCTCCATTGAAATAAAAGTTTGATTTGATATATAATTCTTGCGACTTGTGAATTAACAAATGTAGTAATTGGATCGCCTGAACTAACCCGGTCTGGGATTTTGTCGTGACAAGCATTCCATGTAACCCAAAATTGGAAACTAAACTGCGTCCCTAAACGGTGTCGTTAGGAAGTAGCATCCAAAATCCGCTAAAAATCCTAAAAAAAAAGATAATATGATTATTTAATATTTATCCACAAAGATAATATTAATATTTAATATTTATCCCCGTCAGTGCGACTTGTATAATCATATCCTTATGGATAAATATTAAATAATCATATTATCTTTTTTTTTAATATAAAAACGATAATCATAATATCAAACCCACGTGCGTGTATAGAAATATCGTAAATCAAAACCCTTTAGGATATTAATCATACTATTAAATTTAACAAAAAAAAGTAAGATTAATCATATATTAATAGATCCTGTCTAAGCCTATAGCGTTGTTGATGCATAGTTCCAAAGAGCAGAGATGTGGCGACAACTTTTGATAGTTACCTGCAGCACGTATAATGCTGCGTCTGCGATATGGTTACTGAGAGAAACATCTCGACATATTGCGAAGAAGAGAGCCCTACGTTATTGGAAAGGTGGATCCAGTGAAGACAGGATCAGTGCGTTACCAGATGATTTACTCGTGCATATATTGACGTTTGTCCCAACAAAAAAAGTCGGGGCTACCATGCTTTTGTCCAAACGTTGGCGAACTACATGGACGATGGTGCCACAACTCGATTACAGAGACATCGATTATGGTGCTATTCGCAAAAGTTTTGTCGGCGGTTTAATTGCCCGTTTATTTGGCAAAAGTGATGAGCAACGGTACCGGTCTATTTGGCCGTTACTTGACGGATCATTACAAGCCCACAAGGCACCCGTATTAGAAAAATTAACTATAGTACTACTGGGTCCAAGATGTCCGGTAGATGCTGATATGGGAAAGTGGATTGCGAATGCGGTTGAGCGCAAGGTTCGCGAGCTAGTGTTCCGGCTCTCCTGGTCCGCAGGGCCTACGACCGGCTTGCCGAAGAGCCTTTACACATGTGATACACTTTACACCTTATGTCTTCGCGACAAGATTCTCGTGGATGTTCCTTCTCCGGCTTGCCTCCCATCACTCCAACGTCTTTATCTTTACTCCGTGGTGTATAAAGATGAAGATTCTCATGTTAGGTTATTATCGAGTTGTCCTATCCTAAAAGCATTGTATGTGAGACGACATCGCCAAGATAACGTGACAAAGTTCAATATAAAAGTGCCATCATTGGAATGCCTTCTTTATGATTTTCTCGAATTCGTAGGGCACGATGGGTCGTTGGTTATAGATTCACCGGCTTTAAAGAGAGTCTTAATCAGAGACTATTCAGGAGACTCTTGTTTGATTGAGAACAAGCCTCGCTTTGATAAGGCCACAATCCATGTTGCTAATTCTTACCCTAACAGCAAGTTTATCAAATCGCTTTCCTCACTCATGCATCTCGAATTACTTTTGGTCACTCCAGCGGTACGTATTGCTCTTTTTTTTTTATATATATAATTATAATTATTGTGATCATATTTCGGCTAATATAGATGTTGTGTTCATTTCAGGTTGTGTGTTGTAACGCCATTAACTTCTCGAAGCTTATAGACTGTAGAATACAACTTCAAAATGACTTAGACTGGTTGGAACCACTAATGCTTTTGCTTCATAATTCTCCTAATCTAAAACTTCTCTTCATCCACCAGGTTTGTACTTTCCGTTCATGCTAGTTTAGATTTGATGTACATATTATCAAATCATAAGTTAATGGGTTTTTTTTTTAATATAAAAAACAAATTTCAGTTAATACATGAACTTTGGGAGGATAGTCCGCTTTCATAGGACCAACCGAGTTCTGTTCCGAAATGTTTGTCAGCACATCTCGAGATATTTGAGTGGAAACAATATGGAGGAAGAAGCGAAGAGAAACAAGTGGTAGAGTACATTTTTGCTAACTCTAAGTGTTTGAAGAAAGCTGGAATTTCCATGAAATCAAAACTGAGAGGTAAGAAGAAGATGATGAAAGAGTTGGAATCTATGCCTAGGGTTTCGATATCATCCCAACTTCTCTTCTCCACTCAATTGGGTTCCCTGACCATTAAAATGGCTAACTAAGCTATATCATGAAACATATATGTGCAATTAATTGGTCAAGCTATTATTTTTATAATCTTATATTTTATTTCCTTAATTGAAGTTATTTGAATTCCTCAAAGTCACGAAACTGTTTTTACATAATCGCAGGAGATGATAGTAGCGTATCTTACAAATATTTTAATAATATAATTTATTTTTACAATTAAATTATAAATAATTAAAAAATATGTCACTCATTAATTACCATGTGTGTAGAGACGATTTCTCAAATTCAACCTTCTACTTTTTTTCTTTTTTTTATAATTTTTTTATTATTTAGAACCGCTATAAGAAACGTTACTGATGCTTTTAGACTATGCTCAGAGTTTTAACAACATTGAATTTACATACAATAAAAACTCTATAAATTAATATTCGATAAAATAATAAATTCTATAAATTAATAAAATTTTCAGGTTATGAATTAGCCAATTCAAAATAAACTATAAATCGATAAGATGACAAAGTAATATTTAAAAAAAAAGCTTATGTAATATAAAACCCCATTAATATGATAAATTGATAATTATCATAAAAATAATCTTACACAAATATATAATTATGATAGTCTTTAAAAATATGAATATATTGTGATTTTTCATATTAAAACACGCATTTACGCAGAATAAATATTTTCATTATAATTATTAATTTTTAATATATAATTAAATTTATTATTATTGAAAATATAAATGAAAAATAAAACATGTAAAGTTAAGTATAATGTTTATATATTTTCAATGTTAATTATTATTTTTGTGGATAAAATATATTTATAAAAATTAAGATTTGGAATATATTGATAGTTTTTTTGAATGTAAAACAAAAAAAATTAAATATTATTTAACTAATATCATTACTGGGTATTATTTGATACCATCAACTAATCAATCAATTTCCAAAAATTATTATTTTAGAATAATAAAAATTAAATTTTAACTTTATGGAAATTTTGTGAGAATACTTGTTAGTATATTTATTAACGTAGATAAATTATTACGATAAAGTTAATAAATATCTAAAAATCATTATTTTAGAATAATAAAAATTGAATATTAATCAAAAATTGGAATGTGTGTTAGTATGAACAAGCTTCGCTTTAATAAAGTTAATAAATTTTTAAAAATCATTATTTTAAAATAATAAACATTGAATATTAATCAATAATTGAAATATTTGTTAGTATATTTAGTAACGTAAATAAATTATTTAGCTATAAAACCGAATTATAAAATATAGTGTTTGGTAATTAATTAGTATATTAACTTAAATAAATTTTTAAAAAATAAGAAAAAATGTAGTATTAACGTCAGTAAGAATCACTTTAAATGTTTCTATAATTTATTTTTAATTTTATAATATTTTTTTAATAATTTTAAATTTATTATTAATAAATTATTTATTTAATTTAAAACTGATAAATTGATAATTTTATAAATTAACAAACTATTATTTTTAATTTATTATTAATAAGTAATTTATTTTATTTAAAACTAATAAATTAATAACTTTATAAATTAAAAAATCACAGTATTATTAGTTTATAGGATTTCTACTATATGAGTTAATAAATTCGAATTATTTGGAAACTTGAAAATAAAATTTCTACTCATTTTATATTTTAAAATAATTATGATAATTTTGGCAAGAGATCATTTAGATTATATACAAAGAAGAATCGAACGCGGATAATAAAAAAAAGACAAGTTCCCAAATAACCATCAAGCTAGATATTTAACTACACAATATAGTTGCAATAAATACATACTTCTCTTCTTTGAAAATTTAAGGAGAGTATATTCCAAATGGTTTACCAGTTTCCCTCGGCGAAGTCTTACACACTGTCGGCGAATTTACAAATAACTGATAATTTGGCAGCGAGTCCTCTTCTATCCGTCAGTCATCAACTGGCTTTAACACCAGTGGTGAGGTCCTGTCCGATAGTTTTTGCACCGCCAGAAGACGCATTGCCCGAAGACGCACTGCTCGGAGACGCACTGCCTGAAGACGCACTGCCCGAAGACACACTGCCTGGAGACGCACCGCCCGAAGACGTATTGCTCGAAGACGCACCACCCGGAAATGCACTGTCCAGAGATGTATCATCGTCGATTTACATAATCACGGTGGCGGCAGTCGTTGGTTTAAAGATCATCATCTTTCGTTCCCTCTCTCGTTGATTTCTCTTTCTTTCTCTTTCTCTTCTTCTTCTTTTTATTGCTTTTCTTGTTATTCTCTTCGTTTTTCTTTCTTTTCTCCCGATTTCTATGAAATTCTATACATGATTCACTTCGTCTCCTCGGCGATCATTTGCTTCTCTTCGAAGTGGTCTCGCTCAAGAAACAGCGTCATTGGGTAATACTGTCCTTTCTCACCCGCCACAACCACCAGTCTTGTTAGAAAGAAAGAACTTTTAAGAGTGATGGACAAGATGTTTAAGAACTTGAAAGACAAGAGAACAATTTTAAGAAGAAGAAAGTTTTAAGAACTTAGAGAGCTTAGGAACTTTACTTAACTTCTCTTATTATTTTCTCTCTTAACTTCTTGGTTACAAATGAGAGAGGAGATGGCTATTTCTAGCCTCCAAAGTACAAAATATCTAAAATATTTTAATCCTAAATTTAGATTATTCTATCTTAATATCTAGATTATTTTATTACAATTATCTAGAATTATCTCTAGATTTTTATTCTCTACAACTTTCTAGAATATTTTAAAAAGGTGGATGTGTTGATTTTTCTAGAGAAAACTGTAGAATCTTTGATTAAGCATAATTGGGTTTTGGCCCAATTATTATTGGATCATTAACTCAATATATAAACTTGATCCAAAATCAAGTTTATCTTTCAACACCTCCTCTTAAGCTTGATTTTGCTATTCCAAGCAAGCTTCTCATCTTGATAAAGGCTTCACGCTTGAGTGGCTTGGTAAATGTGCCAGCTACTTGATTGTTAGTCTTCACGTACTCCAATTGCACATCCATCTTGGTGACACATTCTCTAATGTAATGATAGCGAGTGTCGATGTGCTTACTTCATATATAATACTCTTGTTGCCTTCATTGAAATCAAAGTTTGATTTCTTTTGTGGTTGATGTTTATATCATTCTTACGACTTGTAAATAAACAAATGTAGTAAACACCGGTTTGGGATTTTATCTACACCAGTAGCATCTTTGTAACCCCACATTGGGTTTTAAAACCCTTTGCGTTTTCTTTTAAAGCCCCAAGTGTAAACTTTTTTTTTGCCCTTCTTGGGCTTCACTGGATAGGAAATTTAAACGACGTCGTTTGGAAGTAGCATCCAAAATCCATTCCATGGCAGACTATATCTCAATCTGCTAACCTTGGAGGATAATCCATGGTGGATCCTGAAGGAGACGCTGGGTCGACCAAAGTCGTCTTCTTCTTTATCTTTTCCCACCAGAAAGACAGTCTCTCTGTGGCTCGAAGTAAGTTTTTTCTCTCAAAATTCTTTTGAGTTGTCTGTCTACAACGTGTTCGACGATATTACCCAATGAACTGTTCCGTTGTTTCTCCGTAGCTCCACTACCTTGTAGACTGATAACTCTCATTCGTACGTAAACCATTCTCTAAAGTTTTGTTCTTTGACTAGCTTTTGGGTAAATTGTAATTGGCCGTACATTACCTTTATCTTTTATTGAAGCTTTTTTTGTTATATGTATTGAACATTTGTAAGCTTTTTTCTCACTTTTGGAACTTCTGATTCTTGAGACACCTTCATGGATATGTTTCTCTGTCTCTTGCAGATGAATTGGATTGAAAATTGAATTCAAAAACAGCTTCAGAGTTATGCTGCGTGCAACTTGCTTTACTCCTTCCCTTTCTCGGGCTTGTCGTCCTTTATTTGTAATGATTCTCAGAATCCCATCTCTTCATCTCCCGCATCGTAGCTTTTCTCCATTTCGTGGGTACCATACTTCCTTACCTGTCAAAGGCAGCCGAGACAGAGGACTGTTTCTTGTTGACCACAACAGACATCTATGCTCCTTGCCCCTCGCTGCTGCTAAACAATCACCACCTTCGCCTTCTCAAAACTTATCGAGGAAAGCAAAGAAGAAAGCTATTCAACAGTCTCCTGAAGCATTGCTGAAACAAAAGCTAGACATGTGCTCTAGGAACGGTGATGCCGTGGAAGCCCTTCGCTTGTATGATGAGGCGAAACGCAACGGCGTGCAGCTGAGCCAGTACCATTATAACGTGATGCTCTATGTATGCTCGTTGTCTGAGGCAGCAGCAGCAGCCGCAGCAGAGTCGTCTCCGAATCCAGGACTCAGTAGGGGTTTTGATATATTTAAGGAGATGATTGTTGACAAAGTAGTTCCTAACGAAGCTACATTCACAAACGGTGCTAGACTCGCCGTTGCAAAGGATGACCCGGAAATGGCTTTCGATATGGTGAAACAGATGAAAGCTTTTGGTATTCAACCAAAGCTTAGATCCTATGGACCAGCCCTTTATGGTTTCTGTAAGAAAGGTGATGCAGAGAAAGCCTATGAAGTCGATGCGCATATGCTTGAATCAGAGGTTGTCCCTGAAGAGCCTGAGCTTACTGCTCTTTTGAAAGTTGGTATTGATACAAAGAACGCAGACAAGGTCTATGAGACATTGCAGCGGTTGAGAGATTTGGTGAGACAGGTTACTAAATCGACTTTTGATACGATCGAGGAGTGGTTTAAAACTGAAGCGGCTGCAAAAGCTGGAGCCGAGAAATGGGACGTGAAGAAGATAAAGGATGGGGTTGTGAGTGGTGGTGGTGGGTGGCATGGACAAGGTTGGCTCGGGACTGGGAGATGGAATGTGACAAGAACAGAGATGGATGAGAATGGTGTGTGTAAATGTTGCAAAGAGAAGCTTGTTTGTATCGATATCAATCCGGTTGAGACAGAGAACTTCGCTGCATCGTTGACTCGGTTGGCGTGTGAAAGAGAAGTCAAATCTAATTTCAATCAGTTTCAGGTAACAAGTAATTGTCTTGAGAAATGTAGTAAAACATGGAAAAAAGTTTGTTTTTTTAACTCGGGTTTGTCGCAGGAATGGCTTCAAAGACATGGACCGTTTGATGCAGTCATAGACGGAGCCAACATGGGTTTAGTCAACCAGCGGAGTTTCAGCTTCTTCCAGGTGATCTTGAACTCTTTTTCATTTCTAATGCCAATCTCAAGATCCTTGTTTGATTAGTCTAACTTATACGATGGTTCCATCTCTTGCTCTAGCTTAACAATGTTGTTCAAAGATTACAACATATTAGTCCGTCGAAAAGGTTACCACTTGTGATCTTGCACAAGAGTCGTGTAATCGGAGGTCCAGCTACTTACCCTAAAAACAGAGCTTTGCTAGAGAAATGGAAAAACGCCGGTGCTCTCTACGCTACTCCTCCTGGCTCAAACGATGATTGGTATTTGCTTTTTTTTCCTTAGTTTGTGCATCGATCCCAAAAGAAAAAGAATCCATTTGGTTGTGTGTGAAAATCAATTTTTCAAAGTTACAACTCTGTTATCTAGGTATTGGCTTTACGCAGCTGTAAGTTGCAAGTGTTTATTGGTGACAAACGATGAGATGAGAGACCATCTCTTTCAGCTACTAGGAAACAGTTTCTTCCCAAGGTGGAAAGAGAAGCATCAGGTTATATCATTATACAACACTATAATCTGTGAATTGATATGAGTATGCATGTATGTGTGTAATCTTTGATTATTGGTTTCAAACTTTCAATGTTGCAGGTTCGGATATCTGTGTCGAGAGAGGATGGACTCACACTGCATATGCCACCTCCATACTCCATTGTTATACAGGTCGATTTTCTGCTCACACAAAACTCAAATCTACAAAAGTTTGTCTGCATTTTTGCATAATGACGAATGATGTCTTTTGTCGATGCAGGAGTCTGAAGATGGAAGATGGCATGTCCCAATGAGCGTGGAAGATGATCTCCAGACATCAAGGCAATGGTTATGTGCGAGAAGATCCAAAGCACATTGAATTTTTTTGATTCGGGTCAAAACTTTGTTGTATCATCTTTTACATTTAGAACACCAACATTGATTTTTAATTTGGAAATAGATTGTTGTTTCACTAAAACCAGACAATAATCAAAACTTCTTGTATCATCTTCCATTAACGAGTGGTTTTTATATTTCAAAATAAATTGTTGTTTCATTGAAACAGAAGATAATCAAATCATCTTGAGCTACAATAATGTCTAACAAAAACAGAGATATGGTAAAAAATGATTAAAAAAAACCTGAAACTATGATCATCTGAATCCAAAACCAAAGAAGAAAAACCAATTTTAAAAAGATGATCAAAACCTAAGCTTGGTGAAGAACCATCTGTTCTTCCCAGACTTGAACCTCTCCTCGAACCTCGTCTTCGCTTCCTTGAGAGCCGTCACTTTCTTGTCCTTCGACGAGAACGCCTCTCCGGTGACGACGTCCTTGAGATCCAAATCCAAGGTGTAGCGCGTAGGCATCACGTGCTGGTAGTTGACGAGCTTGACGAAGCACTTGACGCGCGATTTCTTCGCCGTCTTCTTCGCAGAATCCTTTCGGATGACTTTGCTTGGGTACTTCTTCAACCCGGCGACGAGGCAGTGACCGTACGGCTTCTCGCGGCTGCCGTCGTCGAAAGATTTCACGATCACCGCCTTCTTCCCGGCGTATCGCCCTTGTAATACGATCACAGCTTTCCCTGGCTTCAATGGTTTCACCATTTTTCGCCTTTTCGAGTTCGCGTTTCTAGGGTTTTCTCGGATACTATATATACTTGTTGTCGACTTATTCAAAATTTCCAGTCTGATCCCAATACTTATCATTCTTTATATTTTTGGTCCATAGTGTTGTTAAAATGTTAATATTGGTCCGAGACTAGCAGTTGACTACTAACCGTAAATATAGTCAACATTGTAAAACTAGCATGATTTAGAGATGTGTAAATGTAAAAAAAAATATTTATTAAAATAATAAAAGAAAACTATAATACCAAACCAAAGAGTTAAATAAAAAAATGAATTAACAAATAGGAGAGGTCCAAGCCAACCGAACCCAAACATAGACTAATTCAATAAAGCAAAAGACAGTAATAATAATTAAATCATCCGCACGACAATCAAATAAACCATCGAATTCCTCCAAAATCAGAAGCAGATGTCGAGGGCGCAACAGCAACACATAGCCGCACAACTGCATTTAAAAATTAAAAATTAAAAATTAAAATTAAAAACCGATCCGGTTCGAAATATAACCAACCGTGCTGGTTCGGTTTCGTTGAGACCATAACATAACTGTTATAATCAATTGACTAATAAATTTCAAAGGTTTAAGAAAAAAAAAAAGAGACTAACCAGCCTTTCCAGAAGCCATCACCCTTAGACTTGGTCTCGACCGGAGCCATCGTGGCGTGACTCGTGTCGTTCGTTGGGTAACCGAGAGGTGGCGGTGCTACGAAGGGACCGGTAGACATTGGTGGTGTAGGATAAGCTCCTAATTATAAATATAATCATATTTCACGTTAGTTTTTATACAATAAAACTCTAGAAATACGATTAACTATGACATAATTGACAAATAGTATGCTGCTTAATTTGTAAAGTGAAAAGGAACAAACCTGCAAATTGTTTTTGGCTGTACTGGTTCATCTTCGAAATAAACTGTACTCTTTGAAAAGGTAGGGGAAAATAAGGTGTTTGAATGGTTTGATATTTGCAAAGATCATATAGTCATGCCATATATATAGAGATAAGGGATGAAGAAGAAAGAAGAAGAAGGTCGGTTTAGTAGAACCGCGTGAGGACCAGATTACATTAATTGCTACGTCTCAAAGAACGAATCCATCGACACACGGAAACGGCCGAGAAGCATCCTTTTTTTTTTTAATTTTCCTTTTCAATCAATTAAAGTGATGTTATGTTGTTTCTTTTTCACGAAGAATATTATTGTTTCGTTAAAATTTGAAAGTGATGAAGACATACATATTTTTTAAATAAAAAATTGTGTTGTCATATGTTACGTATGTTACGTAGCAGGAGCGGATCCAAAAGGGAGGATGGGTGACTGCACCAATGAAAATATAATAATTAATGTAGTTTCTTTTAACGCTAAATTAATACCCGGCCCCCACAATAAAAACCTTTTTTTTTTAATCATTGTTGGAAATATATACAGAAGCTTTTGAATAGAATATGCAAATGTTATTAAAAAAAAAGGTTTTTATTGTGAGAGTATTAATTTAAACATTAGAGCACCATCCATCCATAAATTTTTAATAGGTATCTAATCTAAGGAATTAAATAATGAAAAGATGAAAGAAAAGGAGAAAAAATCTAATAATAGTCTTCAAAAAAGAATTTATGAAATACTCTTAGATACTCATTTGACACTTGCTTATTTTCTATTAGTGTAATTCATTCTTACTAAACAAAATTTAACTATCTAATTAAATAAATTATGTTAAAGTAGTATTAATTGTTGGTTAAAAACATTAAAAGAGAATTTAAATTAATGGAGGTGCTCTTAAAACATTTGAACAAAAATGCTTAATTCAAGATGGTTTTATTCCTTTCTTAGTTAATAAAGAATTTATTTTCTTTCTCAAAGCAAAAGTTTAGTCCTTTCTCCACGGGGAATATTTACATGTTAGGAAAGAGACTTTGCATACAACTAAACCTTACAATATTGGCTAATAACAACTTAGCAAGTAAATTGGAATGAATCTACTTGTGTTGATGATTTTTAAGAGATTTACAACTAAAAAAAGTAGTTACTCCTTTACTTATTTTTAATAGATTTTAGAAATTCATATAAAGTTTATCCATTTCTAAATCCAAGATGAGAATTTTAATTATTATTTGATCATTTGTATGTGTTTCTCATACTTTAAGTTTTTGTATATTTAACATGTAAAACATTTCAAATCCACTTAAATTTACTACATCAAAGCTATGTTTAATATATTATAAATTTGTAAGGTTAGATAACATGATATCTGAATTAGTTAACTAAATAACACAAAATCTAAATACTAAATTTTAAAGTCATACATTAATACCATTGTATTTGGTTTGAAATCATCCAATCATCCACTTGTTTTCAAGATGCACATGGAATTTGCTTGTAAAGGAAATTGATTATTAGTTTCAAGTTTCATCTCAGTGGAAATGTGATCGCAAGTTAGCGATTTGATTAATGCATCTACTCCTACACAATTAGAGAAGCAACGTTAGAAAAGTTTTAGTTGTTTGGTGAACCGACCAATATATGTAGTTCTCAATTTCCTACTAGACGCCATTTATTTTCGTCACGTATTTGCGTTCCCAAATTCATCAATATTCTTTTATCCAAAAAAATATAATAAGCTAATATTTTACCAAAAATAAAGAAAGAGAAGATGGGTATCACGCGATATGGAATTGACCCAAAAGTAAACGCGCTACAACTTTTTCAATGCACAAGTTTGACGAATGGATTACGTCAAATTAATCTGAGATTAAGAAAAAAAAAAATTATTTTGTGGGACTGAAGAAGAGAGACAAGACGAGCGATGGTCTAGAAGCGGTGGAAATCAAGAAAGAGAGGAATACCAATCTTTTGGAGTTATATAAGAAAGAAGATGAGATTAAACCTGAGGCCTTGAAGAGTAAAGGTCATGATTTAGATGCAACTTATTCAACATTTAGATAGTTTTCGTTTTTAATATTAAGTTTTGCATTTAATAATAATATTTAGATGTAACATTATTCATTTATTATAAATTTATAAAAAAAATAGTTTAGTTGCAAAATATCTCTAAACTCTACTTTTAAGATAACTTAAATTTACTGTTTATGTGAAAATAGAATTCGATGAAAAAAAACTCATTTTGTAATTTTAACAAAAAATGGTGATTTGTGATTTTAACATAATTTTTTAATTTTTGTAAAAAAATATGATTTTACGGTTTTGAAAAAAACACAAATTTGCAACTTTGGTAAGAGTTTGTATTATATAAACTCTACTTTTTAATATTTTGTTTATTTAAAATTTTAAGATATTTTTAATTTTATTTCCAGATATAATATATAGATATTAATTTAAAAATGTCTAAACAAACAATAATTGGACAGTTGTATCCAAAAACAATATATGTATGCAAAAACAAATAGAGAAAATGGTGTACTTGTTCGGAGCAGCAAAGAAAGCGATTGACTTGGCAAACGCTAAGGGTATTATTACTACTCTCTTAGGCAAAGCAGAGGCATGTTGAGGCTCTCTCATTACTCATGAGAACCAATATCATCCCTTCTTGGCCTATTAAGGCAGATGTTGTAGAGTGTTCTTTTAGTAAAATTATTTTGTGTCTTTTTCATATGTAGCCAAGCCACAATTTATTTTGTTTTCAGGTTCTGATGAATCATTGTTTCAAGATGAGGAAGAGATGGAACATTCGTAAGCGTGGTTGATTGTTGAGCAAGTATGTTAGTGGACTTCTTTGAAGTTACGTGCGTCATCCCGGCGAGATTTAGGGTTCCACATTCGGAACCTGAAATTGCCCGGATATGAATAATGTTAGAGGTAGAGAGACAGAGAGCGAAGAAGTTGAGTACAGAGTTTTCTTTATTCATAACTGAGAACATACTATAGTATAGTTTATAACAACAAAACAAATAGTGAGTGTTTTAGACTGGACCGTTAGTTCATCAAACAACAAAAACAGAAAATCCAGATGCAACAATAAAAATTCCAGAATGAATATAGTTTTGGGGGTATTTTGGTTAAGTTGTTAATGCAGACTTCTTCCTCATTGTCCAGAAGGCAGCATAGTATCGGTTCTGCAACACACCACAACACAAATAAACCAACCTTTAGACAATGAACTTGAACTTAGAGATTACAGATACTGAAGGGAAATTAAAAAAAAATCTGACCTGCATCATAGACCGAGGATTTGTAGTGTATGTTGTTTCAATCGTTCTTTCTTTCTGCAAATGTCAGGAGATGCATTTGAGTGTGGAAGAACATGAGATGTTTTCATTTCCTAGAGGAAATCTGATTTGTTATATTTGTGTAGAATCTGTAGATTACCTCTATCTCGAACCCATAATGTGAAGCAACTCTCTTTACATCCTCTAAACTTAGCTCGATTGACATTTCCTAAGGAGAAACAGAGAAATATATTTGTGATATCCGAGTTTATAGCGAGATTGTGGGACAAGTCCAAATGCTTACATTTCCATGGCCATATGTGTCCGCAAAGTGATACAGCAGAGGTCCTAAATTTATCCAAACCTGATGGAAAAGTAAATTTAGACAGTCAGGAGCAGTAAAGAGATGAAAGGGCGTTGGAAAGAGTGTAAGAGGGAAATTACTCCTCCATCCTTTAAGATCTTGGATATGATTTCGATGTACTCGATGATGTTATGAGCAGTGTCGATGAAAAAGCAAGTCACAACTGCATCCCACATTCCTGAAATTCATAGTGTTCCCTGGTTACATTTGAACAAATGCATGTTGTGTTTGGTATGGACACATATAGCACTGTTTCTTACCTGCATGACATGATTCACTGTATACTTCGACAAAATCACCACCACACATAGAGAAACCTTCTGTTATTCCTGCACTGCTCACAGAAAATGTTTACATAAACAAACTTTTTCGTATAGTGACATATTGATTTTGTAGTTGCATGAAATCACCAATGCATGTTTGCTTGATCACTTTCAATTGAGTTCCTTTATGTCATTATACCTTATTATTCCCAAAGCCATATAGACCAGTGGTCTCTGAGGTTCGAGGCATACCTTGCAGGATGAATATCAGGAATCGCAACAGGGCGTAGTTGATCATTGTCTGACAGCGAATTGCAGTTGCTGTGTATCCAGGGGTATATCGTCCACTCACAAGGCATCTGTGCACTGATGAAAAAATCAAGCTGAGCAAAACTCAAAACTGGACCACAAACCTAAACTAGATTTAGAAATACATCACAGAAGAAACTACATTTTGGACTCTCCAAAAGCAAAATTGAGGATATTTCCAACTGATTTCTAATTTCTTGAGACAGCCAAATATCTCACGTAGAACTAGAAGGGGGACAAGAAAGACTCTTTGGGAAGAAGACAGACGGACAAACAAATTATAAGGATAATGAAAAGAAAACATAATCAGGAAAGTAAGACACTCTTACTAATTTAGAATAAAACTTGAGCATATCATCATGTAGTATGAAAACTCATTCCCTTGGCTCATGAAACCTGTTCCAATTCACAAGAGTTGTGATATTCCTTATTATTATCGAATCTATCCAGAGAGTTTACTCCTCCGTGGCATACCTAGACAAGAAATTTCAAGGGCTAGGCGTCCAAGTCCAGCACCAGGAACTAAACAGGCAGGAGGGGTGCTGCAAATCATATAATTAACTTCGTAAGCAGAGTGTACTAAATTAGGAACTTGCACAGTAGTAAAGACAGAAACTCAGAATGCATTAATGAGAGTTCAGAGACTCGAAAGTCAAGAAGAAATAACGGTAGCATGGTGTACCTCTCCTTTTGACGATCAGGAAACAAGGAATCAAGTTCTTCAAGGATAGGCTTGTAACATTCGTCTCGTTCTCTCTTACCCTATAAGTAAAAATAATATATAACTAACAATTTCAAGTTCTGACATGCTACTGAAGTATTGATGAAGGAATCTGAGTATATCATTGTAAGAAAAAAATGACAAAAAGAAAAAGGGTTACCTCTGCTGCCCAGTCTCGAACTATATTCCGTATTATACAACGAACCTGTGTTTGAATACAACAGAACCGTGCACGATTAGTGACTAAAAAACACAACAACAAATATTCGCAATTGTACGGGTGTGCCTGTCACCTCTATCATGTGCATGTGCATAGCTCACTCAAATAGAAAGCTACATCAGATAATCGACTTCCAGAATTGTACAAACTGCCTAATGGATCTGATAGAGATTTAAGAATATCCAACAGAATCCACTCAAATAGAAAATCTATATGAGATAATCAACTCCCAGAAATTTCCTAACTGTTTAATGGATCTAATAGAGCTGGAGAATAGATTCTAACAGGTCGCCTCACCATCTTTGTCTCTCAACTCTACTAGGGCTCAAATACAATTATGATTACATAGGAAGAATAAAACTGGATTTCACCAGCCATACTACAAGTCTAAAGCATACCTTATCTACATCAACCAGAGGGACATGTGACTGTAACGATGGGTCCAACCAATCATGGGGTGATAATGATGCCTATGAAAGAAAAGACCAACATTATAAATCAGAAAGTTCACATGAATTGGTATGACAAGTTTATAGTCACAAATAGAGAATTAGGCAGAAACAACACAGCAAAACCCACATATGCTTTCTACAGAGCAAAATCCACATATGCTTGACAGTAAATCGCTTTCTAAAGACAGAATATCAGGTATTATTCATATAATCCACTAAAGATGCTCAACAGACTAGAGATCTTATATCACTGATACAATAACCAAAGAATCTGCGCATTGCTAACGATGTTCAACACAGTTGCTGGAAGGAACTGAGGTTTAAAGTATATGAGTTGACATTACACTGCCATGGTCGTGATGTAAATTGTCTCCATCACAATCATATCTCTTATCAATGATTCTTGTGTCCTCCGAGTGGTTCTTGGGGGAATGATCGTTAGCATCCTTCCTCTGAAACTCCTGCACTAATACAAATAAATTAAAAGTTCTAAATGAAAAGGTTTAGTTTCCATGTCTTGATCTAACCTCTATAGACAAAGCTCCTGTTAGTGAGTCGCGCATACTTTTACTTTCTTCCTGATTTGTACAACCATTGGCCAAGGCAGGCTGACAAGAAGAATTGTGTCTTTCATCTAGTATGTATTTCTCATTTGGAGCACATTCAAGATTTGAGTCTTCACAATCATCAAGATCCTGACTCAAGTCTATAGGGGGCTCAAATGCCTGCCAAGTAATCATCATAATTTTATATTATTACATGACGTGAACTGCATAGGATTTCTAACATATCAAGCATTTCAAGGATGAATTTACGAATCACATAGCCAAATAAGTAGCACGAAGCAATTAAAACGCTAAGGGAGTTATTAAAATTTATGTCTGCAACTGACCTGAAGCATATTAATTATGAAATATGAATTCGTCGATATACACCTGCAACAACAGAGTCAATTAACTTACTGATATTGTAAATCAGACTACACTTAGGACATCTCGAACAAGCACAAACAAGATATAAATAGCTAGATTTCAATATGGCATAGTATCGAATTTAGTGTGCCAGCATGAGAAACAAGAATTATAAGGATATCACAAAGTTGCACATGAACGTGAAATTAACTTAACAAGAAACCTTGCTTGTTACACGGTTAGACTGTCCCTAACCTCAATTTCCCCAAGGAACATAATTACTGTGACAAAAAAAAAACAGTTTTTTACTACAAAAGTTACTGAAAACGTTTAGGAGCATCATGATTCTTCCACAGTCCAAAGGACAAAAGAAGAAGCAACTATAACCAAAACAAATATGTACGTTCTGAATTCTGAATATCATCCAGGCAAGCTTGTGACACTTATCTAGACTACGAGATGACTATAAAATGGTGGAAGTTTACTAAGTACTGAGTATAGATTTCACCTTTTTAATCTCTGCAACTTCAAAGGGTAATGGGGTACCAATGCCTGGACAAGGGAGAAAAAAAAAAGACATCGCTGAGAATAGTTAGTTTTATGAACTATATAAACAAACAAAGAAGATCCGACATATAATCAACTCGACTTGACATCATCTCTCTTAACAGCTATCCATGCGTGTAGTCAAATGTAAGCATTTCGAACTCTGAGATATGCTATAGCTGTAAAATTATTAACATAATATGGATAGGCTTAAGCAGCAAATAACAAACTGCTGAAAGGTTACACACAACTATTATCGTAAACCATATTTAAGAGACACTATTCTCTCTAATACTCGAATCACATATCACAAGGCTAGAAACCAGGCAACAAAAATCACCTTGTGTGCAGGAGACAGCTTCCGATATGATCTTTCCCATCTTTTCAGATCCTCTTTAGAAGCCTCTGGATAACTGCAAGAACCGAAGCAGAACCTTTTTCAAAACGAACAAATCACTGTAGATCCAACCAAGAATGATCCCACTTGGGTCTAAAATTTGACTCACAACAAAGGATGTTCGTAGAAAACAAACATTTACAGTCCAGTAATGGATGCAAACAATGCAAAATAAAATCAAAAAGCAATGAACATGAGCAATATTAAAAAAAAAAATGATCATGGAAACCAAAGTAGATATATTCCCAGCAACATCCAACCAAAATCCCTTTCTCCTAACCTAACAGCTACTAAATCCCAAGAAAATACAACAAAATTTAGAATTGTGATTCGAAATTCTAATCATTCAGATAATTCTCCTTGAATCCACCAACATGTTGGCGTTTCAGATACGTAAATTAATAAGACCCGAAAAACGATGAGTAGGATGAAAAAATAAAACAACGAGCTTTAACAAAAAAAAAAAAAAAAAAAAAAACAACGAGTGGAGAATTAGATACTTGAGGTAAGCACTGATAATGCGACGAAGAGATTTGGCTTCGAGAGCTTCTTCAAGCTTCTTCTGACGGCGTATTTTCTCCTTCTCTTCATCATCCACTCCCCTCGATATCTCCGCCCGTACGGCTTCCGATGCCACGGCTGCAACCATTTCCGGTGCCGTCTCCGTCTCCGTCTCCGTCATCTCTGACGATGAGATCATGGGTGGCTTATGAGCGAATCAAGTCCTGTGAATTTTTTAATTTCGCCGTTGAGGAGACGATTGGGCCTAATGTTCCTTAATGGGCCTATTTTATCCCATTTTCGTAGTAGGACTGACTAAATTCATATGAAGTTTAAATCTCTTCAGTGTAATCCGAGGACTGACTAAATTCAGATTTTTCATAAATGTTACAGTTTTTGAAATTGATTTCTAGAAGAAAATATGAATTGCTTAAGAAACGGTTATGAATCTGATTATTGCTATAGCTTATATATATGTAAAAAAAAAAAATCTGTGGAATCAAAAGTTATTCCATAACGTAAAAATGTAAATTTAGTCTGCGTTTAACTTGATTAGAGCATGGTTAGAGACTTATTTATGGGTTTATTAAAAATATTATATTATTATAATTTAATAAAATAATTAATTTTAATAAAAAAAAAATAAATCACTAATAAAAGGTACATGTCTTTAAAAGTTTAGAGATCGACTTTGAACTAAAAGTTTTGACATTGGTTCTTGTTTTCTTTTTATCTTTTTCTTTCCTTTTTTATTATTTTTATTATTTTTAAAATTTAGATATTATAGTTCAGAATCTCCATTGGAAATGGTCTTATTGAATTGCTTCGGAAACTGTTATGAACTTGACCATTGCTATATGCTTTAACTAAAAATTTATACGTTTAAACAGAGGAAAAAATAAAAAAAAGTACATGTCACATCTTATTGAAATCATTGTCATCATACATAATATTTTCATTTTATATTCACATTTGGTGTCCACATGGATGAATATTACTATATCTTCACCACCACTATTACTTTATTCTATTCACATGCATTATCGACATTTTACGACATCTGTACAATCCCAACCACTAAACGTTAAAAGATCCAACGGTCACGATTCACCAACTCGATACGTCACGCACCGACGGCTGTGATTGAAACCATACCTTCCAGCTCACTCTTGCTACGTCTGATCCTCTCACCGCCGACGTCAAATCCGGTCGCAGCCGTCGACCAAATCTCCGGCACCTCCGTAGCTATCTCAGTCACTCTCTCCACCGCATAATCCGCCTCTTTCGTCTTTTCCGACCTCCCCACCTTTTTTAACCAATTTTAAAAAGAAAATATGAATGTCGGAAAGAAAATTAAACAACTACATTTGTCGATAGAACAAAAATTTACCAGGATTGTGCGAAGCCCAACAGCTTTACCCGCGGTAATATTGTGGATATTGTCATCCAAAAATACCTATTTTCAATGTAAAAACAGTTAGACTTTTTTGTTCAATAAACATATTTAAAAAACAATCGATGATATTTGAAAATTTAGTAAACTAAATTTGGTCCATAATTAATTATCGAAAATAACATTGTACTATATTATACTATATACTATATTATATATAATTTTATAGAATAACTCTATTTGATATAGTATATAAAAAAAAAATGAAGAGAAAAACACTAAAAAGAAGGAGAGAAAAAGAAAGTGGAGGCAAAGAGAGAGAAAAAAAAAAGAAAGAAATTTTAAAAAAAACAAAAAAGAATAATTTTATATATATTGTAGAATATATAAAAAATATCATAGTATTTACTTTACTATGGTTATTTCGTGAATTTAGCTTTCAAATTTTAGCTTTCAAATATGGTTATATGATCCAATTTCCCAAAAACAGTTTTTGTATAGTAAAATAATTATACGTGCGGCTCCACACTTCTTTTTTAAAGAAACTAATTAAACTATGTTATAAATAAGAATAGTTACCGTCCGGCAAGGGTCAACGCCGGCGACACGAATGCAAATATCCATTGCGGTCAACGAAGGCTTAAGAACAACGGGATGCTCATCGGGTCGGGTTGTTGACCCGAATAAATTCGGGTTCATGGTCTCGAAGCAGATCATCTCTTCGAAACAATCTTCTAAACCCAATTTCTCAAGAACCTTCATCGCATGATTCCTGTCCGAATTCGTAAAAATCTGATGAACCAAGAAAAAAAAAAAAAAAAATGATCATCTATTCATTTTTGCTAAAAATAAATAAATAAAACTCATGTTACAAACAAAAATAGCAAATAGAGTACTTACAATTTTTCTCTGTTTGATTTTTTTCAGAAGGTTTCGTAGTTTGCTGTTTGGTTGGATCGAACCGTACGGCAACCTTCCGTGCACGAAACTGCAAACAAATTGACAAGAAAGGAAGAAGCTTAAGAAACCGAATATCTCCTGGGGAAATAAGTAATATATATATGTTGATGATGATGATTCTTTTTACCTGTGATATTCATCAGGATGAACATCGTGACCTAACGCCTACAAGATTTAGATGAAATATAAAGAGAAATCAATCAGTGAAATAATGAAGTAGTTCATGAAAGATATACAAGAATTTGAAGAAGTGAAATTACCCTGAGACCAGCGAGAGTACTTCCATAAGTCTTGAAGAGCTCAACTCTTAGGCTTGATGCTTTACTTTCAGGAAATCCAAATTTCTCCACTAGAAAATCTGTCCAGAAAATAAAATTAACCTAATGTTTTTTTTTAAGTAGTAGTACAAAAAAAGTATTCTACAATTGTTTTTTTTGTTCAGTTACCGTCGATATTTTTCTTGACAGCTGGCGCTATTCCGGTTTTGAGAGGGTATAATGTGTCATCCAAATCTAGTAACAATTAGAAATAACACCGAGAAGAATGAGACAAGAAATTAAAACCACAAAAGAACAGTTAGTAACTGCATATTAAGTTTACCGAAAATGAGGCAATTGATCGGAGAGAAATCCATTTTACAAGAAAAATAAGTAAGCAGATAATACTGTTTTAAATATTTGAGAAAATGAAGAAAATAGCAAACAAAGAAGAGGCATGAAGAAAGGAAGAGGTTGGATGGTATTTATAGGAAAGCTAAGTCGTTTTTTATTTGTTTTTGATTTTTTCAGTCATATTTTTATAATGTTTTATCTTCTTTTTTAATCATTGATACTGACTGCTGACTCATGGTTCAAATCCTTTTCGTCTATTTTATCTTAAACACACATTTTCTTTGAAAATCCGTTACACTAGAAAATTATAATATGTTTTGATCGATGTAAATCGAATCATTATTCTATCTTCATTTACTTGTCACAATCATATTCTATATTGGTTACAAAATGTAAATAAAACCATTTTCTTTATTTTTAAGAGTTTGAAAACCTTACGGGTTAAACGTTTTACTTTTAACACTTTAAACATAACCGGACAGTAGATTGTAATCTGGAATTAAAAAAAACCTATCCAATTTTTGCAGTTTTTTTATGAAATTGAGTGAAAATTAATCATTTGTCTATCTTTAGTAGGCTAGTAGCATTTTGGTTCTTTAGAACAAATAGTAGAAAATTATATAAAACGGAATGGACAGTAATTACTGTTGTAAATGCGGTTGTGTGTGTCATTCATTATGTTTTATACGACCAAGTGTCCTAACTCTTAACACGCCAACCGGAGATAATCTGTCCGACTCTCGTGTATGGCGATGAACTCTTTTTTTAGTGAAAGAATTTATATTTTTTCAAAGTTTGTTTAAAACTTTTTTCTGAAAAATATTACGAAAGAATCAAATGCTGATTTTTTTTTTTAGGCTACACGTCGTCTACTTATTAAATAAATTTTGATAAAAGTTTAAGGTGAAATGTCAATCATAGGCTTTAGCTTTTAGCTGTTTTCTTAACAACGTCGCCCAACTAGAGGAGACCTTTTATGAAATTCAAATAAGATGACACTCGCAGAAGCTTCTACACACAAAACACATGTTTGTTTTTATAGAAAATATAAACATTTCCTCCTATTACGCGTGGATACTTATAACGTGTTTGCACATACTTTACTAGATGATTAGAGATTATGAGATATCCAATCCATTTAGCAATTACAAAAACCTAATGGCCAAAAAACTCTTTTTTTTATTGGAAACCATTTATGAAAAAAATTATGTCAAAGATGTTTTGGGCTAATGACGAATATTCAAGTCTTCTAAAAATTATGCATTTTTAAGCCCCCTAGTTTGATTTTCACATGGGAGGGAGACAAATGTTTTTCAATGGGATTAGCATGAGTTTTGGTTTTAAACTTCGCAATTAATATTAATCATGTATACATATAAATTATGAGATCAAAAACAAAAATACAAAACAAAGGTTTTAATTGGTGACCAATAAAAAAAGAATAAGAATGAAAAAGAAAAGAACGAAAGGAACAAAAGAAAATAAATGAATAGGAATAAAAAATAAATAAAGAAGTAAATAAATATATTTTGTTTCTCTTTAATTTTAATAAGGAATACATTTGTTCTATAATTCCTTATATGATAAAGAATAAGAAGGAATAATAGGGAAATATTATTACTAGCAAATAGTAAAAACTTTAAGAAATGAATAAGAATTCATTATTTCCCCTCATTTTTTTGGTGACCTGTTGAAACCAAAGAACATGTAAATATGAGTGACATTGGGGACAATCACCAGTTTGGTGTGAAGAAGCTTCTGCCAGTGACATTCTATTTAATTTCACAGGTCAAGGTAATTAACCTTAAAGAAAATGATATTCGCTGGTGGTGATTATGTTTGTTCTAACTTTTAAGAAGATATTATTTTTGCTAATTAATATTTGTTTTCTGTGATCCAGACATCCTTTCCCATCAAGAGATGTCACTAATGTGTTGTGTTATTGGTTGGACATTTTGTTGTACAACCTCATCATCTTCTATCGTGAAATATTCGAACGTGATATAATACTATATAATTATTTTTCAATTATCATAAAATTATTCATACCGACTATTGGAGCCAGAGAAGAATGACCATAACTATTTGTGTCGAAAATCAAAATCAAGATACTTGGTCCCTTCATTTGCAATCTTGCAAGAATTAAATTATATATCGATCTATCATATATTTTTAGTAAGTAATAAAACACACGCTATATTGATTATCAAGATATTTGATCCCTTCATTTGCAATCTTGCAAGAATCAAATTATCATAAATCGATTTATCATATATTTTTAGCAAGTAATAAAACACACGCTATATTGATTATCAAGATATTTGATCCCTTCATTTGCAATCTTGCAAGAATCAAATTATCATAAATCGATTTATCATATATTTTTAGCAAGTAATAAAACACACGCTATATTGATTTACTCATTTCACTGACAAATTTATCCGAAGAAGAAGACTAATCAAAAAGGCATACTGTACTTCTCTGTGAGTTGGGCCAAGAAACAGCTATAGATAGACCCAAAGGCCCATTTTTGAAAAATAAATAAACCAGATTTTTTGTGAGTGTTTTAATTTTTGGGTCGGCAAATTAGTTTTCACTTGAAACGGTGAGACTCCAAAAAAGGAACTCCCTCCTCTTTTCTCTAGGAACCTCTAGAAGAATTGAAGTCTTCTCTCTCCTCTAGCACCTTCTAAACTCTCTCTACTTCTTCTCTTCTCTCTCACTCTCTCTCGATCCACGAACCCTAATCTTCTAATCTCGCATCAGCTACAAACATCTCTCTTAAAGATCTCTACTTTTGTTCAGGTTTGATGTTTCTCACTTCTGAGTTCTCTTCGATTATGCTTTCACACTTTGTTTGATTTTTTTTTTTTCAATATTATGCTGCGTTTTCGCTTTTACCTGATTACCGAGAATCACTCAGATACTTGAAAATAATTTCAGTTTGTGTTGGAATTGGTTCTGACTTCTGTGTACGTTTTAAACGTCGAGTAATGAAATGAAAACTAGATTAGTGTTAATCTTCACTACAATTATTGATTGTATTGACGAAATCTTTATTCTCATCTAGGATAAATTTAATGTTTACATTCAGGATTCTTCGCACATATTGGCCAATTATAAGCTGCCACTTGAATTTGATATCATTGAAAGTCATTTGAATTGGGCTGCATTCGATTTTGAATGACACTTACAGTTAAAATCTTTTATGTTCAAAACCTTGAAAACTTGTGTACTCTGAACAGGAAAATGGCAGAGCAAGCTTACACAGTAGCATCAGACAGCGAAAACACCGGAGAGGAGAAATCATCATCATCTCCTTCCTTACCCGAAATCGCCGTTGGAATCGACATCGGCACTTCACAATGCAGCATAGCAGTCTGGAACGGCTCTCAAGTTCACATCTTGAGGAACACAAGAAACCAGAAACTCATCAAATCGTTCGTCACTTTCAAAGACGAAGTCCCTGCAGGCGGAGTAAGCAACCAGCTCGCGCACGAGCAAGAAATGCTAACCGGAGCAGCCATCTTCAACATGAAACGCCTCATCGGTCGCGTGGACACCGATCCTGTGGTCCACGCCAGCAAGAACCTTCCCTTTCTTGTTCAAACTCTCGACATTGGAGTCAGGCCCTTCATCGCCGCGTTGGTGAACAATGCCTGGAGATCCACGACTCCGGAGGAAGTTCTTGCGATCTACCTCGTGGAGTTACGCCTGATGGCTGAGACTCAGCTGAAACGCGCCGTGAGAAACGTCGTGCTCACGGTTCCGGTTTCTTTCTCGAGGTTCCAGCTCACGCGGATCGAGCGAGCGTGCGCTATGGCTGGACTCCATGTCCTTCGTCTGATGCCTGAGCCAACCGCGATCGCGTTGCTCTACGCGCAGCAGCAGCAGATGACTACGCATGACAATATGGGAAGCGGAAGCGAGAGGCTCGCGGTTATATTCAACATGGGCGCTGGCTACTGCGACGTCGCGGTTACTGCGACCGCTGGTGGCGTTTCGCAGATAAAAGCTTTGGCGGGAAGCGCCATTGGCGGAGAAGACATCTTGCAGAACACAATGCGCCATGTGGCTCCACCGAACAAAGAAGCTTCGAGTTTGCTCCGTGTAGCGGTGCAGGACGCTGTACACAGGCTGTCGAATCAAGATAACGTCCAGATCGAAGTTGATTTGGGTGGCGGAGACATGGTTTCGAAGGTTCTCGATAGGTTAGAGTTTGAGGAAGTGAACAAGAAAGTGTTTGAGGAATGCGAGAGGCTTGTTGTGCAGTGTCTTCGAGATGCGAGAGTCGTCGAGACTGGTGATATCGACGACGTGATAATGGTCGGAGGGTGTTCTTACATCCCGAAAGTAAGAGACATCCTCAAGAACGTGTGCAAGAAAGAAGAGATTTACAGAGACCTGAACCCGTTAGAAGCTGCGGTTAGAGGAGCTGCTTTGGAAGGTGCTGTGACCTCAGGGATCCACGATCCGTTTGGGAGCTTAGATCTCTTGACCATACAAGCCACGGCTCTAGCGGTTGGAGTGAGAGCCAGCGAGAACAAGTTCGTACCCGTGATCCCGCGCAACACGATGGTTCCTGCGCGGAAAGACCTCTTCTTCACAACGGTTCATGATGACCAGAAGGAAGCTTTGATCATTGTGTACGAAGGAGAAGGAGAGACTGCTGAAGAGAATCATCTTCTTGGATATTTCAAGATCGTTGGGATCCCGCCGGCGCCTAAAGGTGTTCCGGAGATCAATGTGTGTATGGACATCGACGCCTCAAACGCTCTGAGGGTTTTTGCAGCTGTGCTGATGCCTGGCTCGAAAATCCCTGTGGTTCCTGTGATTGAAGTGAGGATGCCGACGGTTGATGATGGACATGGTTGGTGTGCTCAAGCTTTGAATGCGAAATATGGATCTTCTCTTGATTTGATTACTCTCCAGAGGAAGATGTAAAAGTTTGAATAAAAAATCCGGTATGTGTCATAATATGATCATTTAGAGAAGAGTGTGCATAGTTTGTATGATGATGGGT